ATCATACCGCTCAGGAAGGAGACGCGTTCTGTCTCCTAGAGATGGACGTACTTTGGTGCGAAAAGTGCAAATCAATCCCAGAACAACAGCAAAAGGACCTTGTGAAGGTGCTGGAGGAAACAGGTACAAAAGTATCTATATCCACAGTAAAACAAGTTCTATATCGACATAACCTGAAAGGCCGCTCAGCAAGGAAGAAGCCACTTCTCCAAAACTGCCATAAAAAAAGACAGACTACGGTTTGCAACTGCACATGGGGACAAAGATCTTACTTTTTGGAGAAATGTCCTCTGGTCTGATGAAACAAAAATAGAACTGTTTGGCCATAATGACCATCATTATGTTTGGAGGAAAAAGTGGGTTGCTTGCAAGCCGAAGAACACCATCCCAACTGTGAAGCACGGGGGTGGCAGCATCATGCTGTGGGGGTGCTTTGCTGCAGGAGGGACTGGTGCACTTCACAAAATAGATGGCATCATGAGGAAGGAAAATTATGTGGATATATTGAAGCAACATCTCAAGACATCAGTCAGGAAGTTAAAGCTTGGTCGCAAATGGGTCTTCCAAATGTACAATGACCCCAAGCATACTTCCAAAGTTGTGGCAAAATGGCTTAAGGACAACAAAGTCAAGGTATTGGAGTGGCCATCACAAAGCCCTGACCTCAATGCTATAGAAAATGTGTGGGCAGAACTGAAAAAGCGTGTGCGAGCAAGGAGGCCTACAAAACCTGACTCAGTTACACCAGCTCTGTCAGGAGGAATGGGCCAAAATTCACCCAACTTATTGTGGGAAGCTTGTGGAAGGCTACCCAAAACGTTTGACCCAAGTTAAACAATTTAAAGGCAATGCTACCAAATACTAATTGAGTGTATGTAAACTTCTGACCCACTGGGAATGTGATGAAAGAAATAAAAGCTGAAATAAATCATTCTCTCTAGTATTATTCTGACATTTCACATTCTTAAAATAAAGTGGTGATCCTAACTGACCTAAGAGGGAATTTTTACAAGGATTAAATGTCAGGAATTGTGAAAAACTGAGTTTAAATATATTTGGCTAAGGTGCATGTAAACCTCCGACTTCAACTGTGTGTGTGTGTGTATATATACAGTGGGGAAAAAAGTATTTAGTCAGCCACCAATTGTGCAAGTTCTCCCACTTAAAAAGATGAGAGAGGCCTGTAATTTTCATCATAGGTACACGTCAACTATGACAGACAAAATGAGGAAAAAAATTCCAGAAAATCACATTGTAGGATTTTTTATGAATTTATTTGCAAATTATGGTGGAAAATGTATTTGGTCAATAACAAAAGTTTCTCAATACTTTGTTATATACCCTTTGTTGGCAATGACACAGGTCAAACGTTTTCTGTAAGTCTTCACAAGGTTTTCACACACTGTTGCTGGTATTTTGGCCCATTCCTCCATGCAGATCTCCTCTAGAGCAGTGATGTTTTTGGTGCTGTCGCTGGGCAACACAGACTTTCAACTCCCTCCAAAGATTTTCTATGGGGTTGAGATCTGGAGACTGGCTAGGCCACTCCAGGACCTTGAAATGCTTCTTACGAAGCCACTCTTTCGTTGCCCGGGCGGTGTGTTTGGGATCATTGTCATGCTGAAAGACCCAGCCACGTTTCATCTTCAATGCCCTTGCTGATGGAAGGAGGTTTTCACTCAAAATCTCACGATACATGGCCCCATTAATTATTTCCTTTACATGGATCAGTCGTCCTGGTCCCTTTGCAGATGCCCCAAAGCATGATGTTTCCACCCCCATGCTTCACAGTAGGTATGGTGTTCTTTGGATGCAACTCAGCATTCTTTGTCCTCCAAACACGACGAGTTGAGTTTTTACCAAAAAGTTCTATTTTGGTTTCATCTGACCATATGACATTCTCCCAATCCTCTTCTGGATCATCCAAATGCACTCTAGCAAACTTCAGACGGGCCTGGACATGTACTGGCTTAAGCAGGGGGACACGTCTGGCACTGCAGGATTTGAGTCCCTGGCGGCGTAGTGTGTTACTGATGGTAGGCTTTGTTACTTTGGTCCCAGCTCTCTGCAGGTCATTCACTAGGTCCCCCTGTGTGGTTCTGGGATTTTTGCTCACCGTTCTTGTGATCATTTTGACCCCACGGGGTGAGATCTTGCGTGGAGCCCCAGATCGAGGGAGATTATCAGTGGTCTTGTATGTCTTCCATTTCCTAATAATTGCTCCCACAGTTGATTTCTTCAAACCAAGCTGCTTACCTATTGCAGATTCAGACTTCCCAGCCTGGTGCAGGTCTACAATTTTGTTTCTGGTGTCCTTTGACAGCTCTTTGGTCTTGGCCATAGTGGAGTTTGGAGTGTGACTGTTTGAGGTTGTGGACAGGTGTCTTTTATACTGATAACATGTTCAAACAGGTGCCATTAATACAGGTAACGAGTGGAGGACAGAGGAGCCTCTTAAAGAAGAAGTTACAGGTCTGTGAGAGCCAGAAATCTTGCTTGTTTGTAGGTGACCAAATACTTATTTTCCACCATAATTTGCAAATAAATTCATAAAAAATCCTACAATGTGATTTTCTGGAGAAAAAAAATCTCAATTTGTCTGTCACAGTTGACGTGTACCTATGATGAAAATTACAGGCCTCTCTCATCTTTTTAAGTGGGAGAACTTGCACAATTGGTGGCTGACTAAATACTTTTTTCCCCCACTGTAAATATATATACACAGGTCTAGAAAAAATTAAGAGACCCCTGCAAATTTCTCTTAAATCAGCATCTCTACATGTATGACAGCCATTCCATTCCAGTGTCTGTTGAATTCCAACACAGGCACACCTCATTCTACTGAATTAGGTACTGATTAGGTGATCACCTGAACCAAATCTTATTTAATGAGGAAAAGTATAAAAACCACTGCTGTGGTCATCACTATCCTCTTGCAATAGGACCAGCTGGATGGCAAAAACAGTGCTAATAGTACCTCAAAAGTAATATTAATTTTTTTTAAATACTATTGACCATGCCAAAAGAGTTGAAAAGGAAAGTTTTGAGTGAGGAAAAGAAGGGTTCAATTCTGGCTTTACTGGTAGAGGGATACAGTGAACTTCAGGTTGCTTCCATCCTTAAAATTTCAAAGACGGCGGTTCATAAGAACAAGGTCAAGCAGCAGACATTGGGGACAACAAAGCTACAGACCGGCAGAGGGTGAAAACTACTCTCTACTGACCGGGATGACCGCCAACTCATTCGAATGTCACTCAACAACCGTAGGATGACATCAAGTGACCTACAAAAAGAATGGCAAACGGCAGCTGGGGTGAAATGCACGGCGAGGACGGTTTGAAACAGGCTCCTAGGGCCAGGGCTGAAGTCGTGCAAAGCTAGAAAATAGCCCTTCATCAATGAGAAGCAAAGAAGAGTCAGGCTGAGGTTTGCAAAAGACCATAAGGATTGGACCGTAGAGGACTGGAGTAAGGTAATCTTCTCTGATGAGTCCAATTTTCAGCTTTGCCCAACACCTGGTCGTCTAATGGTTAGACGAAGACCTGGAGAGGCCTACAAGCCACAGTGTCTCGCACCCACTGTGAAATTTGGTGGAGGATTGGTGATGATCTGGGGGTGCTTCAGCAAGGCTGGAATTGGGCAGATTTGTCTTTGTGAAGGATGCATGAATCAAGCCACGTACAAGGTTGTCCTGGAAGGAAACTTGCTTCCTTTTGCTCTGACATTGTTCCCCAACTCTGAGGATTGGTTTTTCCAGCAGGACAATGCGCCATGCCACACAGCCAGGTCAATCAAGGTGTGGATGGAGGACCACCAGATCAAGACCCTGTCATGGCCAGCCCAATCTCCAGACCTGAACCCCATTGAAAACTTCTGGAATGTGATCAAGAGGAAGATGGATGGTCACAAGCCATCAAACAAAGCAGAGCTGCTTTAATTTTTGCGCCAGGAGTGGCATAAAGTCACCCAACATCAATGTGAAAGACTGGTGGAGCGCATGCCAAGACGCATGAAAGCTGTGATTGAAAATCAGGGTTATTCCACCAAATATTGATTTCTGAACTCTTCCTAAGTTAAAACATTAATATTGTGTTGTTTAAAAATGAACATGATTTTATTTTCTTTGCATTATTCGAGGTCTGAACACACTGCATCTTTTTTGTTATTTTGACCAGTTGTCATTTTCTGCAAATAAATGCTCTAAATTATAATAATTTTATTTGGGAGAAATGTTGTCAGTAGTTTATAGAATAAAACAAAAATGTTTATTTCACCCAAACACATACCTATAAATAGTAAAACCAGAGAAACGTATATTTTTGCAGTGGTCTCTTAATTTTTTCCAGAGATATATATATATATAATTAGTTCTTTGAGGAGAGTCAGCTGATCAGAGACACCAGAGAAAGATCGGGAAGAAAAAGAGATTTCCGGAGTCTCTCCAGCCAATAAGCGCATTCCACATGCGGACACGGAGCGCAGCATATGCCAACGGGTAGCGGACAAATGCGATTGGTGCTGATGGTGATAGTAGTGAATCCGCGGCAGCACACAAGAAGGTATAGACTGCGGACTTCCACGAAGGCAGTACGTTCAGACTTACATTAACTTACTACGCATTTCTTCTTAAGTTATTGCTCCGTCAAAAATTTAATAGTTTTGATGATGGTAGCTATGAATTATCCGTATTTCATTGTTGTGCCTGGAACGTTGTAACCGGCGAGTTTGACGGGGTAAGGCATCGCTCTCGTAACAAGTGGTGAGGAGGGCTAACAGTCATTAGCCACAGTTTTTACTGCACGTGAGGTTATTAAGATAGCTACCGTAGTTTTTGGGATAACATACATTTTGAGATTTTTCGGCAGCGTGAGTTGGGGGGGAAACGCAACATAAGTGAAGAATCAGTGGGGTTGTAGAGGTTTCTTCAATTAACTAACGATAGCTAGATAGCTAACGTAAGCAGCTAAGTTAGCTAGTGTTTCCTCGAGCGGCTACTCACCATGGAGAACGCTCACACAAAGACGGTGGAGGAAGTTTACAGCCATTTCAACGTGAACGAAAGCACAGGTCTCGGTGTAGACCAGGTGAAGAGGCAGCGGGAAAAATGGGGACCTAACGGTGAGTAATAAAAAAATAAAAAAGTGATATATCCCTTGCCTGGCAACACGCTGCACGGCCTGTTAGCTAGCTAGCATTCTTCAGCAACCGGCACGGTTGAAAAAATATTGGTGACGTCATGAGCATGTTCAGTCTGACAGACAATGACTGTAAAAAATAAATAAAAAAGACTGAAATAATTTATGTAAAATAAAATGCTGTACATTTAAAATGATCTGCCGGTTCTAAACGATGTTCAGTACCTATGTCTTGGCTATGTTTAGTTCCTCCAGTCCACGTCTATCTAATGTAATTTCCCTTTTGAAACACTTTTTCGGAAAACATTCATGTTTTGTTGTAGCAGTTTTTCTCAACTCCACGATGTACATCGCATCAATTCCTTCAGAAAGTAATCACACCCCTTGAGACTTTTTCCATATTTTGTTGTTGCAGACTGATTTTAAAATTGAATGAATTGATATTTTGTGTCATACACTATACACATACACAATACCCCATAAGGTCAAAGTGGAATTATGTTTTACACATTTAATTAAAAATGAAAAGCTGAAATGTCTTGAGTCAATAACTATTCAGCCCTTTTGATATGGCAAGCCTAAATACGTTCAGGAGTAAAAATGTGCTTAAGTTGCATGGACTCACTGAGTGCAATAATAGTGTTTAACATGATTTTTGTAAGACTACTTAATCTCTGTAGCCACACATACAATTATCTTTAAGTGAATTTCAAACCTAGATTCAACCACAAAGACCAGGGAGGTTTCCAATGCTTCGCAAAGAAGGGCACCTATTGGTAGATGGGTAAAAGCAGACATTGAATATCCCTTTGAGCATGGTGAAGTTATTAATTACACTTTGGATGGTGTATCAATACAGTCACTACAAAGATACAGATGTCCTTCCTAACTCAGTTGCTGGAGAGGAAGGAAACTGCTCAGGGATTTCACCATGAGGCCACTGGTGACTTTAAAACAGTTAGTTTAATGGCTGTGATAGAACGGAGGATGGATCAACATTGTACTTACTCCACAATACTAACTTAATGATAGCGTGAAAAGGAAGCCTGTACAGAATAAAAATATATTTTTAAAAATGCATTCTGTTTGTAATAAGGCACTAAATTTAAACTACAAAAACATTTGGTAAAGAAATTAACTTCATGTCCTGAATACAAAGCGCTATGTTTGGGGCAAATCCAACACAACACGTCACTGAGTACCACTCTACGTATTTTCAAGCATGGTGGTGGCTGCATCATGTTATGGGTATACTTGTCATCGGCTAGGACTAGGAAGGTTTTTAGGATAAAAATAAATGGAATAGAGCTAAGCACAGGCAAAATCCTAGAGGGAAACCTGGTTCAGTCTGCTTTCCAACAGACTCTGGAAGACAAATTCACCTTTCAGCAGGACAATAACCTAAAACACAAGGCCAAATATACACTTGAGTTGCTTGCCCAGATGACATTGAATGTTCCTGAGTGGCCTAGTTACAGTTTTGACTTAAATCGGCTTGAAAATCTATGGCAAGACTTGAAAATGGCTGTCAAGTAATGATCAACAATCAACTTGAGAGCTTTAAAAAATATATATATATATATATAATTTGCTAATATTGTACAATTCAGGTGTGCAAAGTTCTTAGACTGTAATCGCTGCCAAAGGTGATTCTAACGTATTGACTCGGGTGTGAATACTTATGTAAATTAGGTATTTCTGTATTTCATTTGCAAAAATTTCTGATCTAGTTTTCACTTTGTCATTGTGTGGAGATGGGTGAGATAATCCATTTTGAGTTCAGTTTGTAACACAACAAAATGTGGAATAAGTCAAGGCGTATGAATACTTTCTGAAGGCTCTGCACATATGGTTGAGAAACCCAGCTAGCTAGTTATGTTGTAACATTCCGGGACACGCTCTTTTCACTCTACTTTGATACAAAGTGATTTTTGTAGTCGGTTACGAGAGCATTTTCACTAACCCTTATCCTAACCTGCTGCGTAAGTTCTCCTAACCCGTTACGAAAAAGTCACTTTGGTATCGAAGTGGCATAAAGAGTGTTTCCCGTAACATTTCTCTCTCACTGTTGTCCTCTTTCCGGTGTGGTATCCCTTGGATGAATTGCAGAATTGCCTGCTGAGGAGGGTAAGCAAATCATTTCTTTTTGGATAATTTACTTATTCTAAAGCCACATTTAGAAGGTATCCCGTTATTTGGATGCAATCAAACCCTCTATTTTGTTCTCTTAGGAAAATCTTTATGGGAACTGGTGGTTGAACAGTTTGAAGATCTGCTTGTGAGGATTCTTCTTCTTGCAGCCTGCATATCCTTTGTAAGTATAAAATGACTCAATTCAGGCACATCAGGATCATAGTAAGGTTCATATCTGTCCAGAATAAGTATATGAGCATAATTGGGGCACGCACATCTCTTCTAGGGCAGATAGTACTGAATAGGGTTTTCTTTAGGGCTCAAACACACCAATGGTGTTTGCCTGCCGAGAGTACTTGTGAACCAATTTTACATGTTGAATTGCACTGAAAATGTCAGCAGTCGGATGTCAACAGCGCGCTGAACGATTTGTAGACAAACGGGAGATCCACATTCAGTGCGATGTGTGCCACCATTTAGAAAATGCAAGCCCCTAGGTTTTCATTAGGCTAATGCCCACAGCTCAAGCCTCATGATGGATTTATATAGAATCTGTCTCTATTCTGGTGAAAATGTAATGGTGAACTGGCGTTTGTCCAGTAATATAGGAATAATTGGTTATTGCTCCTACTTGTATGTCTTTACATCTTAGTTTACTGCATTGGAATGAGGGGTGTGAGTGGGGGACAGCTGAGAAAGTTATCCTAGTCTGCTATGTTGAGAACATAATTGATGGAGATAGAAACTCAATCTGTTAGTTAGTCACTGGTCGTCAGCCATTTACTTACACATTGTTTTGAGCCTCCCTTTTCTGCTTTTGCCCAATTATGCCTCTTCTACTCCCTGTAGTATGATCCTATCCAATCCCTTTTAAAATCCTTCAGGGGTAAAAGTTGATCTGGACATCAACGATGCTTGTGTTTTATTTCATAAGTGGCCTCACCAGTCGTGACAGATCCCGGTGAGTGCCGAGTTCACCTCTCAGCCAGCAGCATACCACCCTGAAGGCCGCTGCTGGCTTGCCTCTGAAGCTAAGCAGGGTTGGTCCTGGTCGGTCCCTGGATGGGAGACCAAATGCTGCTGGAAGTGGTGTTGCAGGGCTAGTAGGAGGCACTATTTCATCTGTTCTAAAAAAAAAAATATCCCAATGCCCCAGGGCAGTGATTGGGGACATTGCCCTGTGTAGGGTGCCGTCTTTCGGATGGGATGTTAAACGGGTGGCTCATTCATCCATCCTCCTCTCCCCTGTAACTATTCCCCAAGTCGTTGCTGTAAATGAGAATGTGTTCTCAGTGAACTTACCTGGTAAAATAAGGCTTAAATAAATACAAATGCAATACAACATTTTCCTTCCTGTAGCCCAGTGGTTCTCAAACCTCTCCTCGGGGACCCCCAGATGTTTCTCAATTTTCTGGTGTAGCCCTCAACTAGCTCACCTGATTCACGTAGTCCAGGGCTTGATGATTAGTTGGCAAGTTGAATCAGGTGTGCTAGCTCTGGAATAGATCAAATACATGGAATGGCTGGGGGTCCCCGAGGAGAGTTTTGAGAACCACTGCTCTAGCCTAGTTGGCTGATATTCAATGCCACCTCGCTGTAAATATCACCAGCAGCAAGGACACATGGTGATGATGGTCAGGAATCTAGCCTGTAAATCACATCCAGTATTAGGCAGATCACACACACTCAAGTCCCGAGTGTGCTTGAGCTGTCAAGCTGTTCACATTTGACATTTGATTTGATAGGCTGTACCTCAGTGTTAGGAGGAGGAGAATCCTATGTGACACATTTCTGGTTCTGGCCTAGATTCTGATTGAGCGGACAAGTTACTCCTGTCCCTGTTCTGAAATAGTCTGAGAAACCTCTCCCATTCTCTGGAGAAGATTTGCTGAATTGGGACTGAAACGCTGTCATTACGCTCAATACATTTACTAATGCACAGTAGAGAGAGGCTTTCAATCCCCTATTTATAGCTCAAATGATTGTCATTATATTATTGACTGTGTTTTTGCCAGAGAGCTTGACAAGGCTAATTAGTTGGCCTTTATAAATACTGTTGTGTGGGAGGCTACCACTCCAGCCCTTTGAAGTGTAGACTAGTTTGAGATGTACAGTTGTCAGTAACTTCTACCATTGTACCCTCCATTTCTCAGTCATTTCTGGGAGGTAAAATGTTTGTGCCTCATCAGATTGATTTGATCTCTTACGTAATCTGGTCAATCAAACTGCGCTGGTTAAAACCTATGCATCCGATTTCAGTGGCTGAGAAGGAGGACTTTATGGAAATGTCACCACTTCAAAGAGTGGTCGCTCGCTGTTTTCAGATAGAGGATTGAATGCTTAGCCAAAGGCTGGGTGCCTGAACAGGATAGAGTTGTGCGGTGCTTTGAATTTGAACTACTACAGTTATTAGCAATAGCATGTTCAACTAGGGCTGTGACGGTCATGGAATTTTGGATGATGTTTGTCAGCCAATTGACCGCGGTCACCGTTATAATTGTTCTAATGGCAAAACAAATGTTTTCTTTTTTATTTAAGACACACATTTTCAACTCTCCTCCGCTCCTGAATGCCTGTGCTCCTGCAAAATGTGCATGAAAGTTAGCTAGCTAGCTAATGTGCTTGCTAGCTTAACCAGTCTCCAAATCAATCCATATGAAATGAAAGATATGCTAACAACGCCAGTTCACACACGCTCAATGCTGAATACGCCCTCTAGCTAGCTAGTGAAGTGAAGTTCTTGCAAATGGCACAATGTTTTCATGATAACGCAGTTTCTGTTCTGCCGTGGTTAGTGCACTGCTCTCTCTTGTTCATTGAGAGTCACTATTGGCTGCTTGATTTGTCACTATAAGTCGCTAGATTACGTTTTGCCCTTGCCGCGATGACGTCACAGCACAAATTTGCCTTGTTGCCGCACAGCTGCGGTTCCCCCTCTTTACATTTTTTAAATTATACTTCTTTGGATGAGTTCCACAATTTGTTACACGGATGGCTCCAGGCAACTGTGTCGCGTTAGAATAATGGCACCTGTCGGAAGATGATGCACGTTGTAAAGTTACCGTGGACACAAACTCAACTGCATGAATGCCCCGCTGTTCCGTCTTCAGTCAGCTGTTCGTTCCACATACATTTTTCCCTCACTGTATATATAAAAAAATGTATTTGATTCCCTGCTGATTTTGTACGTTTGCCCACTGACAAAGAAATTATCAGTCTATGATTTGAATGGTAGGTTTATTTGAACAGTGAGCGACAGAATAACAACAACAAAATCCAGAAAAACGCATGTCAAAAATGTTATAAGTTGATTTGCATTTTAATGAGGGAAATAAATATTTGACCCCTCTGCAAAATATGACTTACTACTTAGTGGCAAAACCCTTGTTGGCAATCACAGAGGTCAGACGTTTCTTGTAGTTGGCCACCAGGTTTGCACACATCTCAGGAGGGGTTTTGTCCCACTCCTTTTTGCAGATCTTCTCCAAGTCATTAAGGTTTCGAGGCTGACGTTTGGCAACTCGAACCTTCAGCTCCCTCCACATATTTTCTATGGGATTAAGGTCTGGAGATTGGCTAGGCCACTCCAGGACCTTAATGTGCTTCTTCTTGAGCCACTCCTTTGTTGCCTTGGCCGTGTGTTTTGGGTCATTGTCATGCTGGAATACCCATCCACGACCCATTTTCAATGCCCTGGCTGAGGGAAGGAGGTTCTCACCCAAGATTTGACGGTACATGGCCCCGTCCATCGTCCCTTTTGATGCGGTGAAGTTATCCTGTCCCCTTAGCAGAAAAACACCCCCAAAGCATAATGTGTCCACCTCCATGATTGACAGTGGGGATGGTGTTCTTGGGGTCATAGGCAGCATTCCTCCTCCTCCAAACACGGCGAGTTGAGTTGATGCCAAAGAGCTCAATTTTGGTCTCATCTGACCACAACACTTTCACCTAGTTCTCCTCTGAATCATTCAGATGTTCATTGGCAAACTTCAGACGGGCCTGTATATGTGCTTTCTTGAGCAGGGGGACCTTGCGGGCACTGCAGGATTTCAGTCCTTCACGGCATAGTGTGTTACCAATTGTTTTCTTGGTGACTATGGTCCCAGCTGCCTTGAGATCATTGACAAGATCCTTCCATGTAGTTCTGGGCTGATTCCTCACCGTTCTCATGATCATTGCAACTCCACGAGGTGAGATCTTGCATGGAGCCCCAGGCCGAGGGAGACTGACAGTTATTTTGTGTTTCTTCCATTTGCGAATAATCGCACCAACTGTTGTCACCTTCTCACCAAGCTGCTTGGCGATGGTCTTGTAGCCCATTCCAGCCTTGTGTAGGTCTACAATCTTGTCCCTGACATCCTTGGAGAGCTCTTTGGTCTTGGCCATGGTGGAGTTTGGAATCTGATTGATTGCTTCTGTGGACAGGTGTCTTTTATACAGGTAACAAGCTGAGATTAGGAGCACTCCCTTTAAGAGTGTGCTCCTAATCTCAGCTCGTTACCTGTATAAAAGACACCTGGGAGCCAGAAATGTTTCTGATTTGAGATGGGGTCAAATACTTATTTCCCTCATTAAAATGCAAATCAATTTATAACATTTTTGACATGCGTTTTTCTGGATTTTGTTGTTGTTATTCTGTCTCTCACTGTTCAAATAAACCTACCATTAAAATTATAGACTGATCATTTCTTTGTCAGTGGGCAAACGTACAAAATCAGCAGGGGATCAAATACTTTTTTCCCTCACTGTAGACTACCGGTCAAACGTTTTAGAACACTTACTCATTCAAGGGTTTTGCTTTATTTTTTACTATTTTCAACATTGTAGAATAATAGTGAAGACCTTAAAACTATGAAATAATACACATGGAAACATGTAGTAACCAAAAAAGTATTTTATATTTGAGATTCTTCAAATAGCCACCCTTTGCCTTGATGACAGCTTTGCACACTTGGCATTCTCTCAATCAGCTTCATGAGGTAGTCACCTGGAATTCATTTCAATTAACAGGTGTGCCTTTTTAAAAGTTAATTTGTGGAATTTCTTTCCTCCTTAATGCGTTTGAGCCAATCAGTTGTGTTGTGACGATGTTGAGGGGGGTATACAGAAGATAGCCCTATTTGCTAAAAGACCAAGTCTATATTATGGCAAAAACGGCTCAAATAAGCAAAGAGAAACGTCAGTCCATCGTTACTTTAAGACATGAAGGTCAGTCAATCTGGAAAATTTCAAGAACTTTCAAAGTTTCGTCAAGTGCAGTCGCAAAAACCATAAAGCACTATGATGGAACTGGCTCTCATGAGGACCGCCACAGGAATGGAAGACCCAGAGTTACCTCTGCTGCAGAGGATAAGTTCATTAGAGTTACCAGCCTCAGAAATTGCAGCCCAAATAAATGCTTCACAGAGTTCAAGTAACAGACACATCTCAACATCAACTGTTCAGAGACTCGGAATGTATAAAACATTGACTCAGGCCTTCGTGGTCGAATTGCTGCAAAGAAACCACTACTAAAGGACACCAATAAGAAGAAGAGACTTGCTTGGGCCAAGAAACACGAGCAATGGACATTAGACCGGTGGAAATGTGTCCTTTGGTCTAGAGTCCAAATTGGCGTTATGATGTGGGGGGTGCTTTGCTGGTGACACTGTCTGTGATTTATTTAGAATTCAAGGCACACTTAACCAGCATGGCTACCACAGCATTCTGCAGCGATACGCCATCCCATCTGGTTTGGGCTTAGTGGGACTATCATTTGGTTATCAACAGGACAATGACCCAACACACCTCCCAGGCTGTGTAAGGCCTATTTGACTAAGAAGGAGAGTGATGGAGTGCTGCATCAGATGACCTGGCCTCCACAATCCCCCGACCTCAACCCAATTGAGATGTTTTGGGATGAGTCGGACAGCAGAGTGAAGGAAAAACAGCCAACAAGTGCTCAACATATGTGGGAACTCCTTCAAGACTGTTGGAAAAGCATTCCAGGTGAAGCTGGTTGAGAGTATGCCAAGAGTGTGCAAAGCTGTCATCAAGGAAAAGGGTGGCTACTTTGAAAAATCTCAAATATATTTTGATATAACACTTTTTTTTTGGTTACTAAAATACATAATTCCATTTGTGTTATCATAGTTTTGATTTCTTCACTATTTTTCTACAGTGTAGAAAATAATAAAAAATAAAGAAAAACCCTTGAATGAGTAGGTGTTGTAAAACTTTTGACCGGTAGTGTATACTTTTTTTTAAACGTATGACTTGTTTTATTTTCATGACGATTTTCATCCATAATCGGTGGTTAAACGATTATACAATTACCACGCTAGCCATATGTTCAACATTGGATTTGATTGATGTAACTGGAAGTCCTTGCACAAGGCGCTGATGTGTAGCATTTGTCCACTGACATCTCTTTGCAATAGCATTCGCTTGCCTAGATGTATAGATGCCAAGGTCTTGGATGGGCTTGTGCTGACCACATTTTCAGCCCAGACGAGCCTTGTCACTCTCCAAATGCTATTTTCACCCAAATTGAATAACTCCTTGTTACCAAGTGATGGCCTTTGCCCTGATTTTGCAATATTGCTCCTGGCTCTGCTACCTTGCCTCTGGCTCGCCTCATCTCTAGTGTTGCGCGAAACTTCTGTACTTTTTCGATACAAAACACGTGTTTTTTACATTGGATAAAAGCAGAGACACAGAGCTACAAAATGGTATATCATTTATCATTATATCAAAGTAATTCTGCTCAGCCCAGTCAAAGCTATTTGCTGCTCTGGCACCCCAATGGTGGAACAAGCTCCCCCATGATGCCAGGACAGCAGAGTCACTGACCACCTTCCGGAGACACTTGAAACCCTACCTCTTTAAGGAATACCTGGAATAGTATAACAGTAATCCTTTTACCCCCCCCATAAAAAAAAAAGGGTGGTTGTCCCACTGGCTATCCTAGGTTGAATGCACCAATTTGTAAGTCGCTCTGGATAAGAGCATCTGCTAAATGACTTAAATGTAAAATAAACTTGTGATCTCACTTTTGAGAAAATGGTCTTTGAATGTTTTGGTACCTACTGAAGAGCTCTTCTTTGTCAATACCTTTTTTAAACTTATAAAGATTTTATAAGTGTGAATATTTGTAGCTATTTTTTATGTAAATACCTGCACTCAACTTGTGCAATACGTTTGGAGATAAATCGGATCGAGTTCTTCATTTCACCTGTCACAATTTTACATTTTGAAGCTTACCGGTAGTCCCAGCCACGTGGTGTTTGTTTACCAGCGCACAACGACGAGAGACCGGAGGCTTGTGAGTCATTCACTGTTGTGCAGCCAGGTGATCTAGTTACAGTATGGATTTCACCACAAAATGTTTGCAAGCTAGATATCTTATAAATATTTGGGTCAACTGTCTAAAATGTGCTAAATGCTCTGCAGTTGTGCATTTGGTTGACTAATTTAGCTAAGTGGTTAGCTTCTTTCAAAATCAAGTTTTGCTTGGTAACAGTAGAGAATTCCCTCCTGGATCAAGAGCCTTGCTGTCTAATATTTGCTTTGTCCATGGAGCAAATTGTGAATAGTATTTTTTTTGTTACTTGTATAACTTCATGAGCTGGGATTTCTGTCTTTACAAATACTTTAGGTAAGAGACTGTATAAAATGTTCTCAATGCTCTCGTTAGCATTCTCTATGGGAATTGCATGTACTTGTTTAGTATTGCTAACCTTCGGGTTACAATAGTGCCCCTTGTGTTCAATGCTGGTATTACCGAATATCCTGGTATGGCACAAGGTCTGTATGAAGGTATGACAATCTGGATACCGCCCAAGCATAGTTGCTTGTACATTTGTTTTATTTAGACCTTTTCTGGAAGTACATGGCGGACCATTTTTACCATTCAAATAAATTATCATTATGTTATTAGAGCCCGACCAATAAATCTGTTGACCGATTTATTATTGGACGATATTAGCCTTTCACGTAAATATTTATATCTGTCCTTATTCCTCAGATAAAGCACCAATATTCTATATATAGAATGAACAAATACGTCTGGTCATTTTTTAAATGTTTCAATGGTTGCCTGAAGAGGGCGCTCCACAAGCTGTTCATTGAATAATATTCAATCTGTAAATCATGACGTGGGCATGGTTGTTTGACAGTGAGTAGCTTGCCAGCGACAGCGTAATTTGAATAAGTAAATAATCAAAAGTACACTTCACCAAGCAAGCAGCCCTGTTCTCATAGCTAGCCAGCAATGTAGTTTGGGCCTATCTAGCCAGCAAGGTAGTTAGCCTAGCTAGTGATCAATCTTTGCTACTTAACCTTGATACAACTCAACCTTGATACAAAAATAACACAGTTACTGTCTGGGCCTATTAAGTTAGTGAGCTTACTTAGTTTTGCAATCTGCAAAAAGCATGACAGTTGGCGCAGATCTATAATTCAGGCCATGCTTGCTTGCATTCATGATGAGAAGATTGTTTGATAGCTAGCTAAATTAGAACGTGTGTGACTAAAACCAGTGCGGCGAGCATTTTCCTGCATAAAAGTTTTCAGTCATGACTTTTTGCTGATTGCATATTTGGGAAAACTAAATAAGCTCACTAACTTAATAGGCCCAGACAGTAACGGTGCCATTTGCAGTTGAAATATACAGTGTACAAAACATTAGGAACACCTTCCTAACATTGAGTTGCACCCCCAACATTTGCCCTCAGAACAGCCTCAATTCATTGTGGCAAAAGCGTTCCGCAGGGATGCTGGCGCATGTTGACGCCAATGCTTCCCACGGTTGTGTTAAGTTGATTGGATGTCCTTTGGGTGGTGGACCATTCTTGATACACATGGGGAAACTGAGCATGAAAAACCCAGCAGCGTTGCAGTTCTTGACACATTCAAATTGTTGCGCCTGGCACCTACTATCATACCCCGTCCAAAGGCACTTAAATATTTTGTCTTTCCCAGTCACCCTCTGAATGGCACACATTCACAATCCATGTCTCAATTGTCTCTAGGCTTAAAAATCCTTCTTTAACCTGTCTCCTCTCCTTCATCTACACTGATTTGAAGTGGATTTAACAAGTGACATCAATAAGGGATCATGGCATTCACCTGGTCCGTCTGTCATGGAAAGAGCAGGTGCTCCTAATGTTTTATACATTCCGTGTATAGCTAGCAAATACATTTAGTATTGAATTAGTGTAATTTCAATTATGGTTTCAGGAAGAAAACATTTCGTAATGAACAGCTAGCGTATGCTTGTCATAACAAGCTCTCATTGCGAGGTTGCCATAGTGTTTCTTTACATGACCTTTAACTTGTAAAGCACTAGTGAATTTACTCAATACAAATGCTGACGCTGACATCTAGTGGTTAAATGACTTAGTGCATGTGACACTAGATCCAAACTGTTACAGACCTATATCCATCCTGCCCTGCCTTTTCGAAAGTATTTGAAAGCCAAGCTAACAAACAGATCACCGACCATTTCGAATCCCACTGTACCTTCTCCGCTATGCAATCTGGTTTCCGAGCTGGTCATGGGTGCACCTCAGCCACGCTCAAGGTCCTAAACGATATTATAACCGCGATCGATAATAGACAGTACTGTGCAGCCGTCTTCATCGACCTGGCCAAGGCTTTTGACTCTGTCAATCACAGCATTCTTATTGGCAGACTAAATAGCCTTGGTTTCTCAAATGACTGCCTCGCCTGGTTCACCAACTACTTCTCAGAGTTCAATGTGTCAAATTGGAGGGCCTGTTGTCTGGACCTCTGGCAGTCTCTATGGGGGTGCCACAGGGTTCAATTCTCGGGCCGACTCTATTCTCTCTGTATATCAATGACGTCGCTCTTGCTGCTGGTGACTCAGATCCACCTCTACGCAGACGACACCATTTTGTATACATCTGGCCCTTCATTGGACACTGTTAACAAACCTCCAAACGAGCTTCAATGCCATACAACACTCCTTCCGTGGCCTCCAACTGCTCTTAAACACTAGTAAAACTAAATGCATGCTCCAATCGAACGCTGCTTCTGCCCGCCCGCCCGACTAGAATCACTACTCTCGGCGGGTCTGACTTAGAATATGTGGACAACTACAAATACCTAGGTGTCTGGTTAGACCGTAAACTCTCCTTCTAGACTCACATTATGCATCTCCAATCCAAAGTTAAATCTAGAATCGGCTTCCAATTTTGCAACAAAGCCTCCTTCACTCATGCTGCTAAACATGCCCTCGTAAAACTGACTATCCTACCGATCCTTGACTTCGGCGATGTCATTTACAAAATAGCTTCCAACACTCTACTCAGCAAATTGGATGTAGTCTATCACAGTGCCATCCGTTTTGTCACCAAAGCCCCATATACTACCCACCATTGTGACCTGTACGCTCTCGTTGCCTGGCCCTCACTACATATTCGTCGCCAAACCCACTGGCTCCAGGTCATCTATAAATCACTTCTAGGCAAATCCCTGCCTTATCTTAGATCATTGGTCACCATAGCAACACCCACCCGTAGTATGCGTTCCAGCAGGTATATCTCACTGGTCATCCCCAAAGCCAACACCTCCTTTGGTCGCCATTCCTTCCAGTTCTCTGCTGCAAATGACTGGAACGAACTGCAAACATTCCTGAAGCTGGAGACTCTTATCTCCCTCACTATCTTTAAGCATCAGTTGTCAGAGCAGCTTACCGATCACTGCACCTGTACACAGCCCATCTGTAATTAGCCCACCCAACTACCTCATCCCCATATTGTTATTTACATTATTTATTTTGCTCATTTGCACCCCAGTATCTCTATTTGCACATCATCTTATGCACATCTATCACTCCAGTGTTAATGATAAATTGTAATTATTTTGCACTGGCCTATTTATTGCCTTACCTCCATAACTTACTACATTTGCACATACTGTATATAGATTTTCTATTGTTTTATTGACTGTACGTTTTATTTATTCCATATGTAACTCTGTTGTGTTTATCGCACTGCTTTGCTTTATCTTGGCCAGGTCACAGTTGTAAATGAGAACTTGTTCTCAATTGGCTTACCTGGTTAAATAAAGGTGAAATAAAATAAAAATGTTACTGCATTTCACTGCATAGTTTGTGAACAGTGCAGTTTCAGATTTACTTTGAGACAGTTTAATTCATTTGGCCCTTGTTTATTAGTGTGCTTGTGATGCTTCAGCACAAACACTTCTGCATTCTTATCCACTGCCATAGAAAAATCTTTAAGTTGTACATAAGGTAAACTGAACAAGTGTTTTGTATTTACTTTCGTATTTATAGAGGGTGCAGTTGCTTTTTGGTGGTTCATGTAAACCACAAATAAAATGTTATTTAATTAATGTTACTTTTAGTGTTTTAGTTAAGAAATTATTTAGAGTATCTGTTAATCCTTTGGAACACAATTTGTGTAAAAAAGGTCTGGTTTTCATTCCACCTCTAAAAAAACAAACAATATATCGACAGATCGGTAATCAGTGACTTTTGCCTCCTTAAAATCGATATCGGACCCAAAAATCCCATATAATTCGAGTTGTAGTTAAATTTGGTAAAAACAAAGTCAAATGAATTTAATTTATGCATAAGTGGCTGTCAGATTTTTTTTTTTAAACCTCATATTTATCAAGTATCGTGATACCAAACCTGGTATCGAAGTAAAAATTCTGCTATCGTTACAAGACTAATCTCCTCTACATCCTAAAGCTGATATCTGGTTGAGATGTTAATATCTGGTAGGGCATAATATGCCTAAAGCTGTTATGCATGTATTTTTGAGTATTGCTGTCTGACTTGTCTGCCTATTTTCCTCTGTTAGGCGCTGGCCTGGTTCGAGGAGGGAGAGGAGACCATCACAGCCTTCGTTGAGCCTTTTGTAATTTTGCTGATTCTTATAGCCAATGCCATCGTGGGTGTCTGGCAGGTAAGCATATATTTTACAACCTTTTCCTTTTAATATGGTTAGCTTAGTTATTCTTTGGGTTGGATAGACTGTCCCACCCTAAGAGTAATCGTTAATTGATTGTAGTAGGCCTAGCTTATGATGGGATCAGGCCACGTCTACAGGCCATATACCCCCCCCCCCCCCCCCCCCACACTTATATTTTCCTACTAGCACTGATGACCTCTTTATTGAGGACAATGATATGTGCTTGTCTCACCTAATAGGGGTGTAATGATTAACCGATATTCATTAAGATTCAAATGTTTAAGATTGAAGTGCATCTGTCTGCAGACCCCAAACCTATCCAAATATAGCATACATCGGTCAGAAAACCAATTCCGGTTCACATGTTTTTGTTGTTGCTCATATTACATTCTGTCTACCTTCTGAAAATACCTCATCTTTTGTGACAACTCTCTTTCAGTGTCAAACTGCATGTAACTGCAATGACAGTCATTGATCTACAAGTTATTTTGCATGTGTGCCAAATAACCTCAGGCAATATCGGTAGCCTAGTCAAACTGCGCGATTTGCTTTCGTTTTGGCCCTGACCAAGGCGAGGTAGGCGGCCTGTTCCTGATCTTGCACATATACGCGGCACGTTCAGCATTCAAGTGATAAAAGGGCTTTCGTGATATTAGGCTTTATTAGTTGAGTGACAACCTATGTTCTAGGTTATCTATGTTTCACTGGAATGAAAGTAAGCTACCGGAGACAACTCTCCTCTGGCTACCTGCTGAACGGGGCTTACAATGGATTTTATTTTGATTCAGGTTCACCATCAGCAATAGTTTTTGGTAGTTTTGGTTTAAAAAAGTGTATACTGTCATTTTTAGATATACAGGGTAAAGTTTCTAATTTCATAACGAGCAGTCAGTTTTGCAAGGTGCACTGCATGGCCGATGCAAGAGGATATGATCTCTCTGTAGTGAAATATGTTAGGGAATATTGATCGTAACATGGTTTCACAACTAAACATATTTAATTAAACAGTTTTTTTTAGTTTTTCTGCCGTGCGTAGGATACGGTAGGCTATGTTTTGTATAACGGCACAATCATTATTTTAATTCAAGGTTTCTTTCGGCCTTGGACTCCTATTCATAAACTCTAATATGCTTGTTGGATATTTTTTGAATTAATTCTCACCTTAGAAAGTGCTGGTCATTTCGTTCTGTTAAGCTTTGAAACAACATCCACAGGGACCATGTTTTCCACTCAGTTTCAACCTGTTGAACTTCTTTCATCAAATTGATCAATCACCGTGAGGTGAGTTTTAAAAGCACATACTGTTTTGATAAGTGTTTTGTGTTTTTCCATTGCATTTGCGTTGACGTCAGGGGTTAGAGGGGCAATGGAGCCCTGAGTACCAGGCCATTAGCGACCTGATGGTCGTTGGCGAGATGGGCACTACCAACACATGTCCAGAGTGCATAAAAGGAGATTACCGTGACCGTCACGTGAAATCTTACTGCGGTCATGACTCATAACTGCCGGTGTGGCAGTAATATGGTCACCGCAACAGCACTAGTTGTGCTATATATTAATTGGGTGTTTTCATAGCTAATTTGTAAATGATAAATATTGATGCATTACTAGCTCGAGCACTTAATCTGCAAAAATGGCATGTCAATTAGTGGGTGATGGGGATTTCAGATCGAAAGTGGGGAGACAAAACAACAGGCTACTTTGATTGCCTCACTCACTGTAAATTGAGAGAATTGATTGTGTGCATGATGAAGAAATGTAAGAAACTGAAATGATAGACACATGGTAGCAAACATGTTTTTTCCCTTGCTGGTGTAATGACAAGGCTTCTGGGTCACTCCAGTCAGTGACCACCATTAGTTGCCTGTGATTGGCCACTGAGCTGGTTCCCCTGACGGAAAAGGCAGGGATTGGATGCCAGGAAGAGGATTTGGAGGGATCCCCGTGGACGTCTTCTGGTCAGTTCGTCTGCCTGTCCAAACGATCCTTCAAACCTCCGGGGAGAGAGAATGCCATGAACAAAAAGACAGTTAAAAATAGATACAATCTTTGAGCTGAACCAGAGGCTTTTTGTCCTCTGTTGTGACACAGGAGAATGAAGCTATACACTGGGCATTATGGCATGTAGCTATCCACGTTTTAAAACCCTAGTCATTTAGTTTAGAAGTTGAAGTCAGTAGGTTGAATCATGGCTGTGTAATGGTGTTGCCAGCCCAGTGCGTTAACAAAAAAAAAAATACTTGATGGAGAAGAATAGTGAAACTTTAGTTATGAGGGGGAAAAAAGGAGTAGCCTATATGAATGGTTTTCAATGTAAAACTCCCGATCTAGATAACAATCCCCATCCAGGCTAAAGATAGAGCAGGCATCCCACTGGAGCCCCTGGGCCTGGAGCAGAGAGAGGAGAGGTCCTATTTTCCTCTCTGCCTTTCTTAGTCACCCTGAAACCCTCGTCCCGCTTTCTTCTCCTTGGTTTTATTTTCATCTGCGTTCATTACCCTGACTGGCCTGAGAAGCCCTGGCCTTACCCCAGCCCCCCCTCCCCTACCACATGCCAAGTTCTCCCTCAGTCTTTAGTCCTTTTTTATTTTTTATCCCTGAATGTGACAACCTCAATGGTTGTACCGGTATGCCTCTCTGCGTGTGCTTTCCCCTGGACTTCTGGCTTAGTCCAGGGGGTTAAAGTGGCCTATTGATTTGGCCGTGTGCACCTGGGTGGCAGGAGCAGGCTTGGAGGCACACAGCCTAATTACCTTGCTTTTTGCTCAGTGTCTTTTCAATCTGAATTGGAGCGGAGGCAGGAGCGGATCACCCTAGAGTGGGGCCTGCTCGTGGGGCACAGGGACTCCTAGCATCAGCCTGGCGGATGGCAACACAAGATTTTAAAAGAACACAGTAAATAATGCCGGGCATCTCTGCAACCGAGGCGGCTACAGGCCAGTTAGTGTAGGGGGATGGAAGTGATGGGTTTACCATATTCTAAATGTGTTATCATATCGTGTGTATTTCACTCTTGACACCTGTTGCCTAGGAATTAGATTAATCACATTTTAATGTAGTTTTGTGAGGTAGATTGACAATTAATCTCTTGAGGCACAGACTAAGGTTGTGGACAGGTGATTAAATGACAAAAGATTGTCCTGTTGGGTACATGTCCACCCACAGCCTGAGGGAAACCCATTAAATCAGGTTCATACAGAGTCTGTCTGTTTAGTTATACCTTTTTGGTCAATAGTGTCATTGACCACTGGAGTTTAGTATAGAGCAGTCTTTCTTGCCTTATGGCTTTTACATCCTGCCAATCTGTGGATTTCTGAGAGATTCCTCAACCAAGAGGATGAAATCTGTCTCTAGCCATAGAACCCTGTGGTGAGTTGTTCTATTCAGAATACACCCTGGCTGCGTCAAACCTCTCATCGATAGCCAAGTGTTTTCTAAATGTGCAAGATGTAAATTATATTACCCAAATTTCAAAAGGACTCATTGTAATTCACAACATTCTCTGGTTTCCTTTTTGGTCCTATTGTTTTTTCGTTTGTGTATGATGAGAGATCCACAGATCAGCATTGTAAATACTGTGATATTTCTGTCTGACTATTACAATATTCAATGATCTGTGGTTGGATGCACTTCTCTCTTGGGTTTGATTGATTTGCCTCCTTGAGGGTCACTGTTCAAGTGATCATTTTCATTGTTGAACCATCTCTAAATGCTCTTTGGAATTTTGTGGGGGATCTTGTCATCAACCCCACACTTAAAGTTTACATTATCTCTGTGAATAATATTGATTAATCTGGTGGCTTTTGTCTTACAGGAGCGAAATGCAGAGAACGCTATTGAAGCGCTCAAAGAGTACGAGCCGGAGATGGGCAAGGTGTACCGGCAGGACAGGAAGAGTGTGCAGAGAATCAAGTCCAGGGACCTTGTACCAGGGGACATCGTGGAGGTGGCTGGTAAGATGCTTCTAATACACTGAGTGGTGATCAAACCTCTCTGTAGAAACGGGCTATTAACTGATTATTTGTCAACCAACCCCGCACATGACTGCCCTTTTATAGACAAGCAAACTCTGTCCCAGTGATGTACAGTGCATTCGGAAAGTATTCAGACCCCTTGATTTTTCCACATTTTGTACGTTACAGCCTTATTCTAAAATTGATTAAATTGTTTTTTTTACTCATCAATCTACACACAATACCCAATAATAACAAAGCAAAAACAGGTTTTTAAGAAATTTTTACAAATCTATAAATAAAAAAACCAGGAAATATCACATTTACTTAAGTATTCAGACCCTTTGGCAGCAATTACAGCCTTGAGTCTTCTTGGGAATGACGCTACAAGCTTGAGGAGTTTCTCCCACTCTTCTCTGCAGATCCTCTCAAGCTCTGTCAGGTTGGATGGGGAGTGTCGCTACACAGCTATTTTCAGGTCTCTCCAGAGATATTGGGTTCAAGTCCGGGCTCTGGCTGGGTCACTCAAGGACATTCAGAGACTTGTCCCTAAGCCATTCCTGCTTTGTCTTGGCTGTGTGCTTAAGGTCGTTGTCTTGTTGGAAGGTGAACCTTCGCCCCAGTCTGAGGTCCTGAGCGCTCTGGAGCAGGTTTTTATCAAGGATCTCTCTGTACTTTGCTCCGTTCATCTTTCCTCGATCCTGACTAGTCTCTCTGCCGCTGAACCCCCCCCCCCCCCCCCCACAGCATTATGCTGCCACCACCAGGCTTCACCTTAGGGATGGTGCCAGGTTTCCTCCAGACGTGACACTTGGCATTCAGGCCAAAGAGTTCAATCTTTGTTTCATCAGACCAGAGAATGTGGTTTCTCATGGTCTGAGTCCTTAAAGTGCCTTTTGGCAAATTCCAAGTGGGCGGTCATGTGCCTTTTACTGAGGAATGGCTTCCGTCTGGCCACTACCATAAAGGCCTGATTGGTGGAGTGCTGCAGAGATGGTTGTCCTTCTGGAAGGTTCTCCCATCTCCACAGAGGAACTCTAGAGCTCTGTCCGTGACCATAGGGTTCATGGTCACCTCCCTGACCAAGGCACTTCTCCCCCGATTGCTCAGTTAGGCCGGGCGGCCAGTTCTAGGAAGAGTCTTGGTGGTTCCAAACTTCTTCCATTTAAGAATGATGGAGGCCACTGTGTTCTTGGGGACCTTCAATGCTGCAGACATTTTTTGGTACCCTTCCCCAGAACTGTGCCTCGACACAATCCTGTCTCTGAGCTCTACGGACAATTCCTTCGACCTCGTGGCTTGGTTTTTGCTCAGACATGCACTGTCATCTGTGGGACCTTATATAGACAGGTGTTTGCCTTTCCAAATCATGTCCAATCAATTTAACTTATTAATTTTTTTGTGGGTATTTTACCCCCTTTTTTTTCTCCCCAATTTTGATCTTGTCTCATCGCTGCAAATCCCCGCCAAACCGCGCTTCTTAACACCTGCCTGCTTAACCCGGAAGCCAGATGCACCAATGTGTAGGAGGAAACACTTGTGATGCAGCCCGGGATCGAACCCAGGTCTGTAGTGACTGCTCGAACACTGCGACGCAGTGCCTTAAACCGCTGCGCCACTCGGGAGGCCCCCCAATCAATTGAATTTACCACAGGTGGACTCCAATCAAGTTGTAGAAACATCTCAAGGATGATCAATGGAAACAGGATGCAGCTGAGCTCATTTTCGAGTCTCATAGTAAAGGGTCTGAGTACTTACGTAAATAAGGTATTTCTGTTTTTTATTTTTAATACATCTGCAAAAATTTCTAAACTTGTTTTCGCTTTGTCATTATGGGGTATTGTGTGTGTGTGTGTAGATTGATGAGGGAAAACATTATTTAATACATTTTAGAATAAGGCTGTAACGTAATTTTTTTTTGATAAAGTCAAGATGTCTGAATACTCAGACTTTAAAAAAAAAAAAATTATGCAGGTCTGTCTGTTTTTAGGTGTGTGTCTTTGTGTGGGTGTGTTTTTGTATTTCATTTATGTGTTCCTGTGTTTGTTTTAGAGGGCATGCATGTTCTTTCATGTATGTAGATGGAGCTCTTTGATCTGAGTGCTCTGATAATAAGCAGAGCGGGATCAAAGCTGTGTTGCTCCTGATCTCTGCTGCGCTCTCCCCAGTCACCCTGTCACCACCACTAAACCCCGAGATCAGACACCACCTGGCATTGGCTCTGCTAATTGATTTACAGACACATTCACTGAAATTGATGAACCCAAACAGTCTTTGATCTTGGCTGGTAAATGTTTCAATGTCTGATGTAGACAAAACTTAGAGAGATGAGCGCTACCTTTATAGAATTTGACCGTACTTAATCACTTGCAATGAGAGACATTAGAAAGCTCTAAGCAGTTGACGGTCACGCTACTGCCAACAACAGATATTCTCAATGTAAAACTGGCCACTGTTTCTCTCTCTAGAGGGAGAGACTGGGTGCGGTTGTTTGCATGTGAACTCCCCCTATGCTGTTGTAAAATCTACCTGTACGTCACCAGGCTGCAGTGGAACGTGCTTGAGATGAAAGATTAACTAGGCTCTGCTAAAAAGGGAAGTTATTTGCCATAGCAGGCTCTCATCAACAATGTTTGGGATGTAGATGAGTCTCTCCCCCAACTTGCACATCCACCCTGCTGAACACTGCTCATCTCCCTGACTAATCCAGTACAATGGCTGCACCAGGTGAGTGGAGCTGTTACATAAGACCATGAGAGCTGTAAACCGATTTGAGAGGGTCATTCAAAATGAGTTGAGTCTCTGTGTGTGGGCGAGTGAAGGAGGGGTTGTGTGATTGCTTGGACATGGGGATCGGATATGGGAAAAGAATAGGGTTACAGTGAAACCAGAATACAGCGGCCTCAATCCCCATGCCCCCTCAGTCTTTGGATCCACAACCCTTTCCATGGCTTCCTTCCTCTTGTCACCTGGACCTGGCCTCCTCACAGATTGACTATTCTCCTTCAGCGTCACCAATACATCGCCCTGTCCTTTCCCCTTTTTCTCTCCTCGTCTTGCGCTCTCTGTCACCCAGCTTCCTAGAAAATGACTTTTCTTTCTCTCTCTGCCTCAAAGGAAAGGTTGGGGGGGGGGTTAGCCTATAACTTATATATATGCCCTTTCCCACTCCTGCCACCACACTAAGGACGTGGAATGAAGGGCTTTGGTTAACCCCTCACTCTCCAATCCCGGAGTAACTAGGGTAACTACATACCAATGAGGCAGAGTATGTGGACATTTTTTGCGGTGAGTAAGTAGAGGAGTTGATGCATGACTCGTATGCTAAGTCACTAAGTGTCATGTTAAAAGCAGCATCTGCTTTATGTCCTGGCCTCCCGACCCACCCACACCCCTCACTCACCTCTTCCCGTGAAGGTTGAGTCAGAGCTGACAGGCTGGGCTGGAGACAGCAGTGACCTTGAAAGTCTACCAGCAAGACGACACCTACCTACCTTCCACATTTGTATTCATTAGTTTACTTGTCAGTGACCCTGCACAGTTTTTGACACACATCAAAATTGTCCAATCAGTCTCACACACACTCTGATTAGGTGCTCATCTGCATACAACCAAGCCAATCAGTGCGGTCTCATCAGGTCAAAACCCAACCGCCACACCTGCCTCCCTTTAGACGACATCAATGGTCAGATATCTGCCTACTGTTGCACCATAATAAACACGTTTTCCATGACTGAGCGGTTTCATGTAACTTGCTCAAAATAGTCTGTCCCGAACTCTTTCTCCCCCAAAATGTGTTTGCCAGCCATTGGTACTGGCTGCTTCCTGGTGGACTTTGGGTTCACAGCGGTGGTGCTAACGAGTGGAGGGGACGACCTCAATATGAGCTGTGGCGCGTGCCAGAAACATGAGACTGCCTTCACCATCACCTCTGCTGTGGCTTTCACTTTAACTGCCTGGCTTGAGTGGCTTCATCCCCCCTTAGAGGGAGAGGGCGACTATGCATTCTACCAGGACACATGTGAGGTGGGAACGAGAGTGGGAGCCTGTGCTTAGCAGCTGTCAAGCCTAGGTTTAGCCTCCAGTGCTAACAGTAGCATTCTCGGGCACTCTGTGAAAGGTTGCCTGCTAGTTGGCTGTCAGAACAGCAGCAGTTCTTTTCATCTTTCGCCAGCTCTCCTTCAGGACTTTTTTTTTCATTCCGCTGAGATGTCACCTCTCACCACCATCCCTTTCAGTATTCAGACCCTCACCGGCCAACAGCTACTCTGTTGCCTTGGCAATAACCCTGACCCCTTCGAGCCACAACATCCTGTATATAGGAATCAAACAAGCGCTCTCTCTCTCACTACACATCCACCATGGCAGGGGACTCTCAGAATAGGTGAAACGACCCGGGAAACTGCAGGCTTACGTGCAACCTCGCCAGGGAGTCGTAGGAGCACTGGCCACTGATGTTTCTGGACTCCCCCATGTAGACGGAGCCCTGGGTGAATGTATACCTGTTTACCAGGACAGGAGGGGTGATATGACCTACTCTCCCCCCCCCCCCCCCCCCCCCCCCCCCCCCCCCCGCTTGTGGTCTGCAGTAACATGTTTTACACAGCTCCACACATGCATACAAGAGCACCACTGCAGCTAAGGACAGGTTCCATGTCACAACGCGTGCACATGCATTAGTGAATGTTAATCTTTGTGCTGAAAAGGATACCCTTGGCCTTTGTGGGCTGAAGTGTGTGTTGCCTCCGATTTTTATCTCTCTCTGAGAGGATCTTTGAGATGTCGGGGGGATGAAAAAGGTACTCAACCTGGAAACGACAGTCTGTCCCGTTCTCAGAACGTTGAGCTGCTAAATAAAGCTTCCTCCATGCTGATGGAGAGGGTGACTTCTACAACTTCTAATGCAGGCTAGTTCACACGTCCTCACATTTTTAGAACCCCATGTCTGTGGTCTGCAGTGGAAAGAGTCAGTTAGGATTATCAAAACCACATCGACGTCTGAGGACACGGTGTGATACTCGGCCCTGCACAATGACTAATGGCACGGATAAGGTTGTGCGTTTCTCCTAATGAACTGTGAATTATTTATCTATGGAGTTATTAGTAAATGACCCTCATTGACCCTGCTTTTTGGATTCCCCGTTGATGGCACCGATCCATCCTACTCTTGTCAAACATGTTTTGAGCAGCTTGTCTAATGAACTAACAGCTTGACGAACAGCTTTTCTAATGAAGACCTATTCTTACAGGCGCTCTGCTCTCATTGTCATCAAAAGTAGGTTACCCTACTATTCATGACCCTCTTAACCAACCCGATGTGTATATTGGGAACATGCTCCACTGTTAGCTAGTTTGGTTTAGGGGCATTTTGATAGTGGATCTTTATAAATTGAGTCCACAGGGGGTGGGGGAAATATTTAGTATATTCTGCACTTGTATTTGTTGTTGTTGATCTACCCTCATCTCACTCCTCCCAATCCATCCTTCAATCTCCTGCTGTTGAAATTGATCTAGTTTGACGCCTGGTGGGTGATAATGACGTTTTTGACAGCCACCAAGGATGAGGAGAATAGCGCTCCATTTCAAACTTTACTGCTGGAGTTGGCACAGTTAAGGCCAGAGTTTTATCAGAATGTTGGGAGGGATAAAGCTAGACATAAGTAGCTGTTTCTATTGCCTAGCCACTTGTCCCCAGTGCTGGCTAGGTGGCCTCCCCTGTTCCATAAGGCCCATAGAAGAAACTCCTGCCCAGCAGTGTTCACATCTAAACCCACACTACTGCACTGTAGAACTGATCAAAATAGTTTTCCCATTTTTGGATGTGTGTTTTGCGTAGGGCTATCCCCGACAAAAGAAAATCCTGGTTGACCGGATTTCTTTTGGTGTATTTTTCCAAATAGACACACCTTATGTGTTTTAATAAAATAAACTATATGCTTTAAGCGAACTGTTTGATGAAATAAGACACAAATGACTCGAGGAAGCCAGAGATAAAGATAACTTAACCTGACCCAACCATCCTCCTCCCGCTCCTGCTGGCTTACACAGATTCTGCCTTTACTCTCCAGAAGTTGCCGGTAATAGGCTACATGAGGAGTCAGCAACCTTTCTCATGTGGAATGCCAATTTATCTTACAATTTCTACCGATCTGCGTGCCAGTTGTGGTTTTCATATGCACATTTTCGTGGAACAGTAGCGCTCGAAACAAAAGACAATGACTAAATTGACAAAAATCGTAAATGGAATTAAATAAACCAAAACTTGTTTCTCACAAGTGTAGCATAAGTTGTGAGCTCTGCAAACAACGTATCCACTGTAAAAGACTGGAATAATAATATATTGAATGCATTAACAGAAATTACCATAACTAAACAAATATTGTAGATTAGAAATGATAGGAATTAATGGTAAATGTACTACTGGTGATATATTTAATGGGGAATTGATGGACACTAACAATCAAGGAAAACAATTCACACAATGAAGTTAAGAAACAATGAATGTGCACAAATTGGAGAGAGAGAGCACATTCTGGAGAAAGACGTGTGTTGTGCGTCTTGGCCACACTCCCCTTCTTGGATTGTGCCATCCACGTGGCCCCACGCAACGGATTAGTTCACTGAGATGGGCACGACTCAGACGTTTGTCTCATGTGCCATAAAAAAATATCGATATATTTGCTAATGCTCTGGAAAAAAAAATATATATATATATATTGGTCGACCAACAGCCTGTCGACTAATTGGGGTCAGCCCTAGTTTTGCATGTCGGACAGTAGGCCTTCCCTTCAGTCTTTCTCTATATGAAGTAGTTGGAGTAAATACACAGTAAAACTACACTACTCAAAAAAATAAAGGGAACACTTAAACAACACAATGTAACTCCAAGTCAATCACACTTCTGTGAAATCAAACTGTCCACTTAGGAAGCAACACTGATTGACAATACATTTCGCATGCTGTTGTGCAAATGGAATAGACAACAGGGGGAAATTATAGGCAATTAGCAAGACACCCCCAATAAAGGACTGGTTTTGCAGTTGGTGACCACAGACCACTTCTCAGTTCCTATGCTTCCTGGCTGATGTTTTGGTCACTTTTGAATGCTGGCGGTGCTTTCACTCTAGTGGTAGCATGAGACGGAGTCTACAACCCACACAAGTGGCTCAGGTAGTGCAGCTCATCCAGGATGGCACATCAATGCGAGATGTGGGAAGAAGGTTTGCTGTGTCTGTCAGCGTAGTGTCCAGAGCATGGAGGCGCTACCAGGAGACAGGCCAGTACATCAGGAGACGTGGAGGAGGCTTTAGGAGGGCAACAACCCAGCAGCAGGACCGCTACCTCCGCCTTTGTGCAAGGAGGAGCAGGAGGAGCTCTGCCAGAGCCCTGCAAAATGCCCTCCAGCAGGCCACAAATGTGCATGTGTCTGCTCAAACGGTCAGAAACAGACTCCATGAGGGTGGTATGAGGGCCCGACGTCCACAGGTGGGGGTTGTGCTTACAGCCCAACACCGTGCAGGACGTTTGGCATTTGCCAGAGAACACCAAGATTGGCAAATTCGCCACTGACGCCCTGTGCTCTTCACAGATGAAAGCAGGTTCACACTGAGCACGTGACAGTGTCTGGAGACGCCGTGGAGAACGTTCTGCTGCCTGCAACATCCTCCAGCATGACCGGTTTGGCGGTGGGTCAGTCATGGTGTGGGGTGGCATTTATTTGGGGGGCCACACAGCCCTCCATGTGCTCGCCAGAGGTAGCCTGACTGCCATTAGGTACCGAGATGAGATCCTCAGACACCTTGTGAGACCATATGCTGGTGCGGTTGGCCCTGGGTTCCTCCTAATGCAAGACAATGCTAGACCTCATGTGGCTGGAGTGTGTCAGCAGTTCCTGCAAGAGGAAGGCATTGATGCTATGGACTGGCCCGCCCGTTCCCCAGACCTGAATCCAATTGAGCACATCTGGGACATCATGTCTCGCTCCATCCACCAACGCCACGTTGCACCACAGACTGTCCAGGAGTTGGCGGATGCTTTAGTCCAGGTCTGGGAGGAGATCCCTCAGGAGACCATCTGCCACCTCATCAGGAGCATGCCCAGGCGTTGTAGGGAGGTCATACAGGCACGTGGAGGCCACACACACTACTGAGCCTCATTTTGACTTGTTTTAAGGACATTACATCAAAGTTGGATCAGTCTGTAGTGTGGTTTTCCACTTTAATTTTGAGGGTGACTCCAAATCCAGACCTCCATGGGTTGATACATTTGATTTCCATTGATAATTTTTGTGTGATTTTGTTGTCAGCACATTCAACTATGTAAAGAAAAAGTATTTAATAAGATTATTTCATTCATTCAGATCTAGGATGTGTTATTTTAGTGTTCCCTTTATTTTTTTGAGCAGTGTACATCCGAAGAACAAGCCCTTTTAAGTTCTGCATGCTTAATCAACCCCACTGCCTAAAGCAACTTATCAGTCCCTTCATCTTCTTCTGTATGTAAATTGTAAAATCTTTTGTAATGTCTTTCTCGTTATGTCGGACCCCAGTAAGACTAGCTGTCGGCTAATGGGGATCCTAATAAATCAAATCATATTAAACCTCAATATCATTTGGAAATCCCTGTGTGTTGTTCTTTCAGGCCGACAGAAGGATACACTGGTACCCTCTCAGCCGTAACTAATAAATGTCAAGAGCCTTTAATAGCCTCTTGTGCCTGTCCCATTTCAGTGGTGCAAAGAGTTGTTTGGTAATGGGAGATTTACAGTTTGTGTGTATTACCAAAGCCCTGTGTTAGTGGAAAGAATGAGCTGCCTTCTATTTCGGCCCCCACATAAATCCAGTGGAACATTTTTTATATTTTTTGACAGATCACTTTATCTGAGCTGTTATCCAGCAAATATGTTTTGTTTTATGTCATTGGCTGACATTCTGCACGTATGAGTGAGCCAGTGGTTTCCTGTGTGGGGAGAATTTGATGTTGCCTGTGAACGCCATTAGTGTTTACTATTTTTCACATGAATAAACTTGTTGAGGTTTATAAGGCCGTAATCCATTTACTGGAGGTATCCTCATCAGTATCATCCACTCAACTGAAATACCTGTTTTAAAAGGCTCTAGTTGTGCTTAATGGTTTCTCCCTCCATTTTTTGTTTTTCTCCACAGTTGGCGACAAAGTTCCTGCAGATATTCGACTGACCTCTATCAAATCTACAACCCTGAGGGTGGACCAATCCATTCTGACAGGTGAGTCATACTTTTCAATTGGCGTCTTTGCCCTTGCTCTTGCAGCCATAAAAGCATTGCAAGAATGAAATGTTTCAGGGATTCATAGTCTGAAGATTATTTAGCCTTGCTGTTTCTGTGTGTAGAGCTTGTATTAACTTGTATGTAATTGCCAGTGTTTGTTGGGTTATATGGGCTGATGAATGGCTCCAGGTTGAGTCACCACTTGAGGATGACCCTGAAACTGTCAATGTGAGAACAAAATGATAATTTCTCTCACTCAGAATGACTCCCTGATCATTTATTTGAGAGGTAGTCAGCAGTGCTTAGTATAAAGAGGGAGGATAGACGTTTGCAACGCCAGGGTTGTGGGTTCGATAAAATAATGTATGTGCTAACTGTAAGTCGCTCTGGATAAGAGCGTCTGCTAAATGATTAAAAATGTAAATGTTATGAGAAGGTAGTCCTGCCTTAACTTCTTAAGGATCAGACCTTTAAAAAAAAAAAAAAATAATGATATTGACATACCCAAATCTAACTGCCTGTAGCTCAGGACATGAAGCAAGTATATGCATATTCTTGATACCATTTGAAAGGAAACACTTTGAAGTTTGTGGAAATGTGAAATTGATGTAGGAGAATATAACACATTAGATGTGGTAAAAGATAATACAAACCAAAAAACATGCTTTTTCTATTTATTTCTTTGTTCCATCATCTTTGAAATGCAATAGAAAGGACACAATATAATATTGCAGTTTAGGCGCAATTTAGATTTTGGCCACTTGATGGCAGCAGTGTGTGAAAAGTTTCAGATTGAGCCAGTGAAGCATTGCAAAACTGGATTATTTTGTATCAAGTCTGCCCAAATGTGCCGAATTGGTCAATTGATACATTTTCAAGGACATAACTATAGAGAACATACAAAAATGATATGGTAATACAAAATGTAAGTTTACACACTCCCAGGAATGTCATACATGATGGATCATTAGCTTATACACTAACTTTCACACATCTAGATGGCCGGGTGGGGTGGGTGTGGAGCCAGAGACAGCAGGGGTTCAAACTTTAGAACCCTGTTCCTACATTTGAATATAAAAATGGATTTGATCAAACAAAACTATGCTACATTTTATCTCTGGGACCCTTAGGATGACAAATCAGAGCAAGATTACTGAATGTAAGTACATTATTTACCTTCAGAGGTGAATGTATCAAACCAGTTGCCGTGAAACGTTTTTTTTGTTGTTGTGCACTCTCCTCAAACAATAGCATGGTATTATTTTCACTGTAATAGCTACTGTAAATTGGACAGTGCAGTTAGATTAACAAGAATTTAAGCTTTCTGCCCATATAAGAGACGTCTATGTCCTGGAAAGTTTGCTGTTACTTACAACAGTCATGCTAATCACATTAGCGCACGTTAGCTTAACCGTCCCGTATAGGGGACACCGATCCCGTAGAGGTTAATTTGGGGTTCAGCAGCGACGCTGGTGAAATCATATTGTATTAGTTGGCATTGATTCTTTTCTGCCTATTTGTGAAAAAAATCATATTCCCGTGAGATGGTAAGGACTAGGAGGTTGCAACCTTGCATGATGGTGAAGCACCAAGGACCACGCCCTCTCATGCAATGCCATGCCAATTGGCCACATGGTGGCGTTATAACAAGCAATTTAAAATGCTAACTTTTAAAGCTCACGTCCCTCACCCCGTTTGCGTTAGTCCTGAAATTCGGTATGAAGATCCCTCTCCTCACAAGGAACAAATTTGCCTCAAGGACCCATAAGGTCCACCATGATGACCGATCTGCACAAAACTTGATACATGGCATCTATGGACCAAGCACTCACAAATTATGTTTTTCCAGGGTATCATCTCAAACAACATGACTAAACATTCATGTTGGCGTGGTCTGGCACATAAATGCATGTAACTCTGACACGGATATTCATTTGACATTTACTTTTTAGTCATATATAGCTGACGCTCTTATCCAAAGCGACATACAGTAGTGAGTGCATACATTTTCGTACTGGTCCCCCGTGGAAATTGAACCCACAACCCTGGCTTTGCAAGTGCCATGCTCTACCAACTGAGCCACACAAGTGCCATCATATTGTAACAAATCCTGGTATGCATGTTCCACTGTCAAGACTTAACATATGTGAGCACATTCATATCGACCACACGGTGGCGCTATAACGGACATATGTTTATCAATCTATTTGACTCAATGATGACATTTGGCGCACGCTCATGGATATGAGTCTAGCTTATCTATATAAAGAATGGTTCAGTTTAGCTGCATGGTGACGCTGTTGGACAGGAAAAATCAATCATGCAAGCTCATTGGCTCATAGCGGCCATGTTTGAGCAAGAGTCTTGAAAAATATTGTTGGAAGATGTGCATCTGTAGATGCTATATACAGTGAGGGGAAAAAAGTATTTGATCCCCTATTGATTTTGTACGTTTGCCCACTGACAAAGACATGATCAGTCTATAATTTTAATGGTAGGTTTATTTGAACAGTGAGAGACAGAATAACAACAAAAAAATCCAGAAAAACGCATGTCAAAAATGTTATAAATTGATTTGCATTTTAATGTGGGAAATAAGTATTTGACCCCTCTACAAAACATTACTTAGTACTTGGTGGCAAAACCCTTGTTGGCAATCACAGAGGTCAGACGTTTCTTGTAGTTGGCCACCAGGTTTGCACACATCTCAGGAGGGGTTTTGTCCCACTCCTCTTTGCAGATCTTCTCCAAGTCATTAAGGTTTTGAGGCTGACATTTGGCAACTCAAACCTTCAGCTCCCTCCACAGATTTGATATGGGATTAAGGTCTGGAGACTGGCTAGGCCACTCCAGGACCTTCATGTGCTCCTTCTTGAGCCACTCCTTTGTTGCCTTGGCCGTGTGTTTTGAGTCATTGTCATGCTGGAATACCCATCCACGACCCATTTTCAATGCCCTGGCTGAGGGAAGGAGGTTCTCACCCAAGATTTGACGGTACATAGCCCCGTCCATCGTCCCTTTGATGCGGTGAAGTTGTCCTGTCCCCTTAGCAGAAAAACACCCCCAAAGCATAATGTTTCCACCTCCATGTTTGACGGTGGGGATGGTGTTCTTGGGGTCATAGGCAGCATTCCTCCTCCTCCAAACACGACGAGTTGAGTTGATGCCAAAGAGCTCGATTTTGGTCTCATCTGACCACAACACTTTCACCCAGATCTCCTCTGAATCATTCAGATGTTTATTTGCAAACCTCAGACGGCCCTGTATATGTGCTTTCTTGAGCAGGGGGACCTTGCGGGCGCTGCAGGATTTCAGTCCTTCACGGCATAGTGTGTTACCAATTGTTTTCTTGGTGACTATGGTCCCAGCTGCCTTGAGATCATTGACAAGATCCAACTCCACTAGGTAAGATCTTGCATGGAGCCCCAGGCCGAGGGAGATTGACAGTTATTTTGTGTTTCTTCCATTTGCGAATAATCGCACCAACTATAATAAATAATAATATGCCATTTAGCAGACGCTTTTATCCAAAGCGACTTACAGTCATGCGTGCATACATTTTTGTGTATGGGTGGTCCCGGGGATCGAACCCACTACCTTGGCGTTACAAGCGCCGTGCTCTACCAGCTGTCACCTTCTCACCAAGCTTCTTGGCGATGGTCTTGTAGCCCATTCCAGCCTTGTGTAGGTCTACAATCTTGTCCCTGACATCCTTGGAGAGCTCTTTGGTCTTGACCATGGTGGAGAGTTTGGAATCTGATTGATTGATTGCTTCTGTGGACAGGTGTCTTTTATACAGGTAACAAACTGAGATTAGGAGCACTCCCTTTAAGAGTGTGCTCCTAATCTCAGCTCATTACCTGTATAAAAGACACCTGGGAGCCAGAAATGTTTCTGATTTGAGATGGGGTCAAATACTTATTTCCCTCATTAAAATGCAAATCAATTTATAACATTTTTGACATGCGTTTTTATGGATAATTTTTTTTCTGTCTCTCACTGTTCAAATAAACCTACCATTAAAATTATAGACTGATAATTTATTTGTCAGTGGGCAAACATACAAAATCAGCAGGGGATCAAATACTTTTTTCCCTCACTGTACCTAATTTGGTGCAGAGCGGTTCTGTAGAAAAATATATTTTTAAAGTAGTAAACATACATTTAAAATGGTCCAAAATACATCAAAAGCATATTGCATGATCAGTTTGATTTTGAGTTCTGATATTTGGCAAGCGTTGTAAACGGTACATAAGTAGCTCGTCCTAGGGCGACGTGTGCAATTTGTCCTGATGGTGGCACAGTGGGCCCACAGCTGAACCCCGGCATTGCTGCTTGCAGCTACACTACATGGCCCCAGCCCAGTCATGTGAAATACATAGATGAGGGCCTAATTAATTTATTTCTATTGACTGATTTACTTATATGAACTGTAACTCAGTAAATCTTTGAAATTGTTGCATGTTGTGGTTTATATTTTTGTTCAGTGTAAAAACTTATTTCACACACTATATGGCCAAAAGTATGTTGACACTCCTTCAAATTTGTGGATTCTGCTATTTCAGCCACACACGTTGCTGACAGATGTATAAAATCGAGCACACAGCCATGCAATAGACATTGGCAGTAGAATGGCCTGTACTGAAGAGCTCAGTGACTTTCAACGTGGCACTGTCATCGGATGCCACCTTTCCAACAAGTCAGTTCATCAAATTTCTGCCCTGCTAGAGCTGCCCCGGTCAACTATAAGGGCTGTTATTGTGAAGTGGAACGTCTAGGAGCGACAATGGCTCAGCCGGGAAGGGGTAGGCCACACAAGCTCACAGAACGGGACGGCCGAGTGCTGAAGCGCGTAAAAATAGTCTGTCCTCGGTTGCAACACTCACTACAGAGTTCCAATCTGCCTCTGAAAGCAACGTCAGCACAATAACTGTTCTTCGGGAGCTTCATGAAATGGGTTTCCATGGCCGAGCAGCCACGTACAAGCCTAAGATCACCATACGCAATACCAAGCGTCGGCTGGAGTGGCGTCAAGCTTGTCGCCATTGGACTCTGGATCAGTGGAAACGCGTTCTCTGGAGTAATGAATCACGCTTCACCATCTAGCGGTCCGACGGTTGGCACAAAGCGAGGTGCATACAGAAATGGTTTGAGATCGGTATGGAAGAACTTCACTGGCCTGCACAGAGCCCTGACCTCAACCCCATCGAACAGCTTTGGGATGAATTGGAACGCCGACTGCGAGCCAGGCCTAATCGCCCAACATCAGTGCCCGACCTCACTAATGCTCTTGTGGCTGAATGGAAGCAAGTCCCCGCTGCAGTGTTCCAACATCTAGTGGAAAGCCTTCCAGAAAAGTGGAGGATGTTATAGCAGCAAAGGGGGGACCAACTCCATGTTAATGCCCATTACGTATATTTGGTAGGGGAGTTTGGTATTTCAGCTGCTTTTCCCCCTCCTCCCATTCATGGCTATAATCTGTGAAAAGCAGTGCAACGCTTGCTCAGCTGATTACCCACTAGGCCTTGCTTTCCCCTGCAGTGCAGATTCAGGAGTGTGAAAGTCCTTCGGATGCAGCGTTTTGTAATTGGCAGCCCTGCTCAGTCAGCTGTGAAGTCGAAACACACCCGTCAACCTGTCACCTTATTGCTCTGTAAGGGCTGCGCTTGATCCCCCTCTTCCTCATCCCTCTTTTTGTCCTCCTGCAGGAGAGTCTGTTTCTGTGATCAAGCACACTGACCCGGTGCCTGACCCCCGGGCTGTCAACCAGGACAAGAAGAACATGCTCTTCTGTGTGAGTCTTTAGAAAACCATGAAATACCTCTCTCCCCCCTTTCATCTTGCCTCTTCAGTACATGATCCTCTTTCCCTTTTAGCAAACCCAAGACTTATAATCTCCTCTTTTCTCCTCCGTTCCGTCTATCATCTCCATTACATGTTCCTCTCTGGGATTTTGATGGCAGACCTCTTATCCTTAACCCCTCGTCTGCTTCTTCCCCAGTTATTTTCTGCTCCTCCCTCACTTGTTCATGTCCCAATGTGTATTTGAGGTAATTACATCCTTCAGCAGTGTACACCTGTAGTCTCACCATCTCTCCTTTCTCCTCCACAGGGCACCAACATAGCAGCAGGTAAGGCGGTGGGCGTGGTGGTGGCCACAGGCGTCAACACTGAGATCGGGAAGATCCGGGACGAGATGGCGGCCACGGAGCAGGAGCGCACGCCACTGCAACAGAAGCTGGATGAGTTCGGGGAGCAGCTGTCCAAGGTCATCTCCCTGATCTGCATCGCCGTGTGGCTCATCAACATTGGCCACTTCAACGACCCCGTCCACGGAGGCTCCTGGATCCGCGGCGCTGTCTACTACTTCAAGATCGCTGTGGCTCTGGCTGTGGCCGCCATCCCAGAGGGTAAGAGAGTGGGAAGGGGGAGTGAGGGGAAGCCGTCTATAGTATACAGAAACCAGTACATTGGGCTCCAGCATAGTTAGTATGTCAAACCCCCTCTTATCTCCATCTCTCTCTCTCTCTCTTTACCAGGGCTGCCCGCTGTCATCACCACCTGCCTGGCTCTTGGAACCCGCCGCATGGCCAAGAAGAACGCTATCGTCCGCAGCCTGCCCTCCGTGGAGACCCTGGGCTGCACCTCTGTCATCTGCTCGGACAAGACCGGCACCCTCACCACCAACCAGATGTCTGTCTGCAGGGTGAGTCCCCATCCCCAGAGCACCATGGGGGGAGATGGATGGTGGGGTGGATAGGGTTTTAGTTGGAGTAGGGGCGGTTGATGTTTAGTATTATGGTTACGTCTGACTCTCAGGGTCATATTCAGAGTTTAAAACGAACATTACCTTAGTAGTGAAAAATATCAATGATTCTAGCCTGGTGAGTCTTTTTAGTGCAAATAAGTCTCCAGCTGCTCAATGCAAAAGACATGCAAAAACACCACCTCACACCTGGCCTCCTAGGACAAGCTTTCAGCACTCCTCTGCACTGGCAGGTAGGGGTCCAGCTGAGCTAAACAGAGCCTACAGCAGCCTCTTCCACACTTTATTAGCTCCCTGAACTCATCTTTACTAGTATTCTCTAGTTTATTTAGCGGTCTACTTGCTTAAGGAGAAGGCTATGTTCTTGCCAACCATGAACAATCCATTCAGTGAAACATTACAACTGATTTGGCATCAGAACATCCCTGGAAAGAAAGCAGTCTTGACAGCATCTGCTGACAGTGTGGATTTATCCCCAGGGTATTGTCGAGGTTGAAGGACAACACTGTATAATGAAGGATTCATTTATTTGCAAGCACGGTTTAAATTAGATTGGAAAGTGGAGGCTATGAAATTACGCTGTTCCTGTATTGATTGAATTCTATCCTATTAGATTGATTAAATGCATCTGCCGAATTCTGTGTAGCTTCCTGCCCCCACCTTGTGTGACTCATCACCAATCTGAGGGCAGTGAAAAGACCGTAATGCATTATCACCCCCCCCTCCCCCTCTGTTCCCCAGCCTGTTTCCCCAATGGTCTCCTCTGCTGCTATTCTCTTCCACTACATCACTCCTGCCCTCTCTTCTCACGTTTAAATCCCTCTTTCTCGTATTCTTCATCCCTCGACCTCTCCCCCTCTCTCACATGAAGTATTCTGATCTTTATACAGCAGTCAGTCACTTGCAGTAGTGTTGCATAACTGACATTGTGTTTTAGATCAGTCTTTCTCCCCCCTAACATGGCAGCATGATGCAGTTCTTGGAATAAAGAGGGAGGGGAAAGATTTGAAGCAACATCTTGTTTACGTTGTCAAATTGTATTCAAAGGTTTTTAGCATAATGTACTTTTTAAACTTTTCCTGTACCGATACTGCAATTCGGCTGCTGTGTGAGAAGGGTAGCTCTAAAATTAGCCGGCTGGAGTAGAGGAATGTTTCTTAATTTATTCAGTGAATTTGGTAAAGCATCCCTGACGTCACGGCTCTTTGAAGTCTGTACTCTGCCTCAGGAGAGAAGGGAAAGAGAACACCGGTTCATCCTTTTTATTTGGATATTTCTCTCCATCTCTCATCTTGCCTTGATTCTCTGCAGAGCAGGCGCCTGGGAGATTAGTCTCACTCAGTGTGTGTGCGCGTGTCTCTCCATTGCATGCCAGCTGTGGAGGAGGCAGGCTTGCCCTCTTACTCACGCTCTCTCTGTATTTTCTCTCACGCACATGCTCCCACTCTTTCTCTCTCCATCTCACTTTGCTCTTTCTCTCCTCTCACCCTGTCTGCTTTATATCTCCCGTCTCCTCCTCACTCTTTCCCTCCCCTGTCCCGCCTCCTTGCTGGTTTGTGTGTTTTGTTCCTTATGGAGAACTAATGTCCTCCTACTCTTCCATCACATTGTGTGGGCTACCATTCATTTACATAGGGATGACATCCACGCATTCATCCCAGCATGGAAGTAAATTGGTTACCCTTGCGTACCCTGCAGTGAACACCTCTCCAAGAGACCTACAGCCACCAATGTAAAGTGTGCTTAATCCTTAGTGTTTTATTCCCAGGCGCAGTAGCATTTATTTCGTTAATTTGCCTAAGGCTGTTATGGTTTATCAGTGCTCTACTTGTATTGCAGTTGTCTGCTGCCCCCTACTGGGTAGGCTGCTGCTACTGCATGTAGATCAGTGGACGCTTCAGTGTGAGGTTGATTCAGGGGATCTAGAGAACTACTGGTTGTGTAAGTCCATAAAATAACTTGCTGTGTGACTTGTAACCTGACACATTCTCTCCCTGTGTGTTCTAGATGTTCATTATTGACCAGGCAGAGGGCAATAGCTGCTCCCTGAAGGAGTTCACTATCACTGGCTCCACGTACGCCCCTGAGGGACAAGTGTGAGTAATTAGTGTGTGTGTGTACACACACACACACACACAGTCAATGAAACATGTGGTGTAGTCTCATTGTCAATACACCACACATCCTACCTGAGCTCACTGTTCCCCCTTTTCCATGGCTGTTGTCTTTTATTCCAGGTACCATGATGGTAAACCAGTGAAGTCCTCCCAGTATGATGGCTTAGTGGAGATGGCCTCCATCTGTGCCCTGTGTAACGACTCCTCCCTGGATTACAATGAGGTTTGTGTCCTTTATACATTTCACTGTTAGGTTCCGGCTGGTTGAAAAGTCTCGGTCACACAAGCCTTTATCAGTGGTTGATTTATTGATTTGAATATCAGTAGTCTTCACCATTCTGTTGTGGATATACAAGTAAACTGGTTTTAGTTGTTCATTGCTACGATCTTGCTAATAAGTGTGTGTGTGTTTCTCCTCAGACCAAAGGTGTATATGAAAAGGTGGGCGAGGCCACAGAGACTGCCCTCACCTGTCTGGTGGAGAAGATGAACGTGTTCGACACTAACGTCAAGGGCCTGTCCAAGATCGAGAGAGCCAACGCCTGCAACGCTGTAAGCCACCGTTTGCTACTCTCTCAATCCCAACATGATTATCATGTGAAAGTATTAAACAACTGAGTGTTCGTCCCAAATGTCTCCCTATTCCATTTATAGTGCACTACTTTTGACCTGAGCCCTATGGGCCCTGGTGGTCAAAAGTAGTGCCCTATAGGGAATAGGGTGGCTTTAAGGATGCAGACAGAGTGGTCCTACTCCATCAGACATCCCCCAGGTTGTGCTGTTCCACTCCTCCAGTTAAGGATGTGTTGGGGTGTGTTTCCTCTCTGTGTGGGACAGGTAATCAAGCAGCTGATGAAGAAGGAGTTCACCCTGGAGTTCTCCAGAGACAGGAAGTCCATGTCTGTGTACTGCACCCCCAACAAGGCCCACTCCTCCATCGGCAAGATGTTCGTCAAGGTAATGATGAGGATCCACCCACAGTATTGCTCGGATAGTAGACCATATGGACACCTGAGAAATTCCCTATATGGTGCACTACCTTTGACTAGGGCCCAGTAGGGCATTAAATAGGAAATAGGGTGCCATTTGGGATGCAGATCAAATCAAACTTCATTTGTCACATGTGCCGAATAAAACAGGTGTAGACCTTACCGTGAAATGCTTACTTACAAGCCCTTAACCAACAACGCAGTTCAAGAAAGAGTTTACTTTATTTGGTAAATATTTTTAGTTAAAAATAAAATAAAAAGTAACACAATAAAATAACAACAAGGCTATATTCTAGATGCCACTTCATAATAACTATGATAAATGTTAGGATTTGGGCACATCTGTTTGTGTACCAGATTACTTTGAGTGTCTGTTTAAGCAATAGGGCCCGAGGGGCTGTGGTGTATGACCAATAAATCAAATCAAATTTGATTTGTCACATGCGCCGAATACAACAGGTGTAGACCTTACAGTGAAATGCTTACTTACAAGCCCTTAACAAACAATGCAGTTTTAAGAAAAATAAGTGTTAAAGGAAAAAGAAAAAAAAAACAAATAAAGAGCAGCAGTAAAATAACAGTAGGGAGGCTATATGCAGGGGGTACCGGTACAGAGTCAATGTGCGGGGTCACAGGTTAGTCGAGGTAATATGTACATGTAGGTAGAGTTAAAGTGACTATGCATAGATAAACAGAGTAGCAGCAACGTAAAAGGGGGGGGGGGGGGGGGGGGAGACAATGCAAATAGTCCGGGTAGCCATTTGATTAGCTGTTCAGGAGTCTTATGCCATGGGGGTAGAAACTGTTAACAAGCCTTTTGAACCTAGACTTGGTGCTCCGGTACCGCTTGCTGTGCGGTAGCAGAGAGAACAGTCTATGACTACGGTGGCTAGAGTCTTTGACAATTTCTAGGGCCTTCCTCTGACACTGCCTGGTATAGAGGTCCTGGATGGCAGGAAGCTTGTCCCCAGTGATGTACTGGGCCATACGCACTACCCTCTGTAGTGCCTTGCGGTCAGAGGCCGAGCAGTTGCCATACCAGGCGGTGATGCAACCAGTCAGGATGCTCTCGATGGTGCAGCTGTATAACTTTTTGAGGATCTGAGGACCGATGCCAAATCTTTTCAGTCTCCTGAGGGGGAATAGGCTTTGTCATGCACTCTTCACGACTGTCTTGGTGTGTTTGGACCATGATAGTTTGTTGGTGATGTGGACACCAAGGAACATGAAGCTCTCAACCTGCCCCATTACAGCCCCGTCGATGAGAATGGGGGCGTGCTCGGTCCTCCTTTTCCTGTAGTCCACAATCATCTCCTTTGTCTTGATCACGTTGAGGGAGAGGTTGTTATCCTGGCATTACACGGCCAGGTCTCTGACCTCCTCCCTATACCAGGCTAAGGGCTGTTCTTAAGCATGACGTGAAGCAGAGTGCCTGGATACAGCCCTTAGCCGTGGTATGTTGGCCATATAACACAAACCCCTGAGGTTCCTTATTGCAATTATTGACTGGTTACCAACATAAATGGAACAGTAAACAAGTATTTTTGCATCATACCTGTGGTATATTGTCTGATATACACACGGCTGAAATGCTGTTTCAGCCATCAGCATCCCGGACCGAAGCTACATGGTTTATAATTAAGCAATAAGGCCTGAGGGGGGTGTGGCCAATATATCCCAGGTAAGGGCTGTTCTTAGGGACGACGCAACGCCTGGATACAGCCCTTAGCGTGATATATTGGCAATACACCACAAACAAACTTAATTAGAGCAGTAAAAATAAATGTTTTGTCATACCCGTGGTATGCGGTCTGATATACCACTGCTTTCAGCCAGTCAGCATTCAGGGCTCAAACTACCCGGTTTATAATTGTAGTTGAATGTACAGTATGTAGTAAATGAACAGAGGCTGATGCTTTATTTCCCCTGGTTTGACTTTCTGTCTCTCTCTCCAGGGAGCCCCAGAGGGAGTGATTGACAGGTGCACTCACATCCGTGTGGGCGGGAAAAAGGTGTCCCTGACCCCGGGCATCAAGGACAAGATATTGTCAGTGATCAGGGAGTACGGTACGGGGCGCGACACCCTGCGCTGCCTGGCTTTGGCCACAAAGGACAACCCCGTTGCCAAAGAGGACATGGTGCTGGAAGACTCAAACCGCTTCATCGAATACGAGGTGAGAGAATGGAGGGAGAGTGACAGGAATAGCAGAGCATTTATTCAGAGAAGTGATTTAAGACCTACTGTATAGGAGAAACGTGATTCTCCGCACCTTAGTCCACATCACAACTGCTGCTACCAGACTCTTATTATACTGCTCAATTTATGCACTTGCCGCCAATCCCCCCCTTCCCCCAATACACGTATAAATATTGGACTATAAATTGTGCCTTCCTGTATTATACTTGTGCTAAAATGTTTATTCTATTCTACTGCCATTTACTTTATGTTCGCGATCTTATTTTTAAAAACGATTTGTTATTGTTGTATTGTCGAAGGAACCTGCAAGGAAGCATTTCATTGGGCGATGTATACCATGTGTATCCCGTACATACAGTACGACAAATAAAATGTAAAACTTGAGGCTGCAAAGTAGTCATAAGTGTATATTTAAAAAAGTAATACTTTTGATAATTGGATGAGGTGTTGCGAGTGAGCCAAAGCCAGGACTCTAGTCTAGTCTGACTGTCCCCCTGTGTCTCTCCCCAGACGGACCTGACGTTTGTGGGCTGCGTGGGCATGCTGGACCCCCCCAGGGCTGAGGTGGCTGCCTCCATCAAGCTGTGCCGCCTGGCCGGCATCCGTGTCATCATGATCACCGGTGACAACAAAGGCACGGCCGTGGCCATCTGCCGCCGCATCGGCATCTTCAGCGACAACGACGACGTCTCATCCATGGCCTTCACTGGCCGCGAGTTTGACGACCTGTCGCCGGCCGCCCAGCGAGACGCCGTGGTCAACGCCCGCTGCTTCGCCCGCGTGGAGCCATCCCACAAGTCCAAGATCGTGGAGTTCCTGCAGTCCATGGACGAGATCACAGCCATGGTGAGACATGGTCCACCTGAGACCTTCCTCATCAGTTTGTGCAGCATTTAACTGAAACTCGACACTTTGTGGTTCGGCTTTCATGATACATAAGCCCTCAGCATGTAATGTTACCTCGAATCAATACAGTATGTGATTAGTCTAAACCTATCCTGTAGAATAGTTGTTTAGATGGTTAACCATAGCCTGTCCTTTCCCCATGGCCAGACTGGTGATGGAGTGAACGATGCCCCTGCTCTGAAGAAGGCAGAGATCGGCATCGCTATGGGTTCAGGCACGGCTGTAGCTAAGTCAGCCTCTGAGATGGTTCTGGCCGATGACAACTTCTCTACCATCGTGGCGGCTGTGGAGGAGGGCAGGGCCATCTACAACAACATGAAGCAGTTCATCCGTTATCTCATCTCCTCCAACGTGGGAGAGGTCGTCTGGTAAGGATCCTGACTTTGTCCCAAATGTCACCCGATTTCCATTTAAAGTGCACTACTTTTGACCAGGGCACTACTTTTCACCCAATAGGGCGGTGGTCAATAGTAGTGCACTATATAGGGAATAAGGTGTAATTTGGGACGTACCCCACATCTCCTCTCTTCAGCGAGAAAATCAATAAACGGTCCTCAGTGCCATGTTAACAAGCCTCCATGTAAATGTTTTTCCATCATTCCTACAGCATCTTCCTGACCGCTGCTCTAGGCTTCCCCGAGGCTCTGATTCCTGTCCAGCTGCTGTGGGTCAACCTGGTGACGGACGGCCTCCCTGCCACCGCCCTGGGCTTCAACCCCCCCGACCTGGACATCATGAGCAAGGTCCCCCGCAATGCCCGCGAGCCCCTCATCTCTGGATGGCTCTTCTTTAGATACCTCGCCATCGGATGTGAGTGGGCCTCTATAGAACAACACAGAAATATAGCTTCATTGTTTTTATTTAGTTAGAAGTGTTTAGGCTGTTGTGTGTATCCAGATAGCCATGTGACTCATGTGCTCTACCTCTTCAGGCTATGTGGGTGCGGCTACAGTTGGGGCTGCTGCCTGGTGGTTCGTTGCTGCTGCGGACGGACCCAGGATCACCTTTTACCAACTGGTAAGATGCCAATACAACACACACACACACACACACACACACACACAGTTACTCTTACTTAGCTGCTTTTCTCCTCTGCCCACAGAGCCATTTCCTGCAGTGTGGTCCTGAGAACCCTGAGTTTGAGGGTTTGGAGTGTGGGCTGTTTGAGTCCCCCTACCCCATGACCATGGCCCTGTCTGTGCTCGTCACCATCGAGATGTGCAACGCCCTCAACAGGTCAGACTATGCCACTACATCTTTCGCATTCCCTCTCTTATTTCACTGTTGCTTTAGGCTTGTCACTAGTGTCATAATGTTGTGAGATTAATCTGGTATACTTGGTGAAATGATGGGCAAGTGGCTCCCAAATGGGTGTTCAGTCAGTGATTTAACCCAGTTCTCTCTCTCCCTCAGTGTGTCAGAGAACCAGTCCCTGCTGCGTATGCCCCCCTGGGAGAACATGTGGCTGCTGGGAGCCATCTGCCTCTCTATGTCCCTGCATTTTCTCATCCTCTATGTGGAGCCCCTGCCGGTGAGACTACCTGCACTAATAATGGGCCTGAGGCTACCAGAAATGCTTTCTAGAACAATATATTATAATGCTAGTGTAAGAGGTGGGATGGGTGGAGAAATGGAGAAAGCAGCAGAGGTTATCCTGCTCGCTCATGTTATCCTTTCCTCCACAGATAATCTTCCAGATCACCCCTCTGAACCTGACCCAGTGGCTGATGGTGCTAAAGCTCTCCCTGCCCGTCCTACTGCTGGATGAGGTCCTAAAGTTAGCAGCCAGGAACTACATGGAGAACTACCCTGGTAAAGAGCTGGAGAAGCCCAGCAGCAAAGGCTGCTCTCTGTTTGCATGCATGGAGGGCATCTCCTGGCCCTTTGTGGCCCTCACCCTCCCCCTGGTGCTGTGGATTTACAGCACCGACACTAACATGGCAGACATGTTCTGGTCCTGACTGACTTGAGCACAACCCCCTCCCTCTTCCGCCTGTGTGTGCGTAGCTAGAGTGAGTGTTTATGTAGACTTAGTGTGTGCCTGTGTGCCTGCCGAGCATGCACGAGGACACAAACAAATAATATAAAAATGTAACAATCAAAGTCCTGTTTAAATTTTGTGCGAGTGTCAGTTGACCATCACTCCCATAACTGGACTTTTTGCTGGTTCGAACGAAAAATATTCTTGTCAGTTTTTGTTATTGTTCATATTGCCTTTTAAATTTGTATTTTTTTTAATGATTTGGGATTGTCATTTTGTCTCATTTCATTACAGTACAAATAATAGATTCCTGTTTTCCGCTTCCCTTTTCATAGGCGTATACAAATTAGATATTTTAAAGCAGTCCATTGACCTGTACAGAGATTTAACACTATTGTATGAAACTGTTTTTGTTCATCACTTTGTGTAAATTGTTGGAATGGATTGCAGGGGGAGTGGCTAAGTGAGAACGGGTAGGGTTACCTACTAATGTTTTACTATTGTCTTCAGTGTGAACTTAGAACTCTTTCAGAGCCGATGGACAAGCACCAGGTGGCAGGAGATGGGTATGACAAGAGTTTGTGGAGTGATTATGTATGCATTGCTGAAAACAAAACAAAAGTATCCAGAAAAATGAAAGCTGCATGTCCTTTGACCTAGCATGAACTGTATGCGTTTTTTCATTTAGCATTTAGTCGCGTCTCCCCCACATCAATGGAAAAATGACCATGGATGATTATAATTATTTTTTACTGATTTTGAAAAGCCAGTTTTTCTGCACTAGGCAGAGCACAGCTACCTCAATACGATCAATTTAGCTCATTTCTAGATGCTTTTACATACATGGCTTTAGTCTTTATTCAACATTTAGTCAATATAGTTATGACACCTGAGGTGCGTCCCTATTTCCTTGTGCAGAAAACTAACTTGACAAAAACAGATTGGCCTTCCCTCAGTAACTTGTTTTAAAGGATGTAAATGTTGCCATCTCTGTGGGACATGGGTTGATTCAAAGGAGAGCAAAGGCTACAAAACATTTTTACTTAAAAAATACAGGTTTTCCAATTGACTACTCAAACCATGAACTTCCAACACAAATAAGAATCAATGTTTTGTTTTTTTCTACTTAAAAAAATACATTCATGAACCCTTTGAATCAATGCGTTTTTGTCTTTCTTTACCAGGACTGAGCTAATGGTGTCTAGATCATTTCTACACAGTGTGGTTTTTGTATGGGCACATACTTGAATATAGATAATGTAAGAAGTCTTTGAATGCTTCATGCTTATTTGGCGCGACATGGTTGGCAGGGCATGTTTATACAGAACTCTGATCTATAGTATTTTTGTTCCCTTTGGGGGCCTTACATGTCTGTGAAATGTGCAGTATACCTTTAGAATAGGAGTCCTAAGGAGTCCATACAATCACACTAGTATCAGCCTAATAAATGGGTCTGATTTTCAACAATCCAACGTGGAAACTTCCCTCTGTGTGAAGCATGTCTTTTCGCCTTGGTTTGATTGCACTGTGTATGTGTTCTTTAACAACTGCTTTCTCCTTCAATGCCAGCCACTGGCTTCCCTTTCACTAGTGAGTATTCCCTTCCTCCTCCACATTCCTTAACACACCAATCGCTTATACCAACAATTGATAACAGAGAAATATTCTTAGCTATAAAACTTTGATTAACTGCAGGAATCAGCATATATTTTGCATTAAATGATTGACTTTGACCAGCTGAGCCCATCAGATCAATTTCTGCCGTTCTTGTCATTTTGAGAGTTGTCCATCTGCTGCTCAGGCAGCTCTGCTGTCACTGCAACTTGATGACGGCCAGGGCTGCCACTCATCAGATTGAATGAACTTGTCTCTGACTGGCTATAGATTCAGGATGGGCTTTTGACTGTCTGAGGCTAAAAGTTTTTATTTTTTTGTAATTCAATGCACACTAAAAACAGGACTGATTGGCTACTGATGTTGTACATAGAAGTCTGAGTCAGTTGGTTGTGTTGTGGTTGATATTGAATCATACACCTGTTTTCTATGTCACCATTCTTCTAATAGACTTTACCCGAGAACATCTATTGTTTTCTTACACACGTACACTGGCACCTTTTAAGCTTATGCTCCCACACAATCACATATATCAGTGAGGGTGTCAACTAGTGTTGTCTGCTGGAAATCCACTTAAATTATTTTTCTCTGCTGATATTTTGTACTTATCATATTTTCTTTCTCTACAGGTGAGGATTAAAACCTGCCATTCCATCTAGTCTGATAGTAAATTTGCAGAGACTAACTGTCCTGTCCAGCATGTTTCCTGGGTAGCATCGCACCTCAGATATCATGACCCCTACTGTATAAGTAACCTGTGCAGACATGGGTACAATGCATTTACAGTATATTCACAATTATGAAAAACATGACCAAATAGTAAGTGGAATGACATGGTATGGGAATGTGTGTGGGATTGGTGGTTGAGGGTTAGAATAGTTTGAGGGTTAACTTCTTATATTATGGTTTGACTGGGGAGAGATGATGCCATTTGGATTCTTCTATACAGGGAAGCTTTCCGTGTCCCTGACATTCCTCCCTGCATGAAGAACCTTCTTCCAACCTTCAAGATTTCATACCAAGTTAACTATAATAGTTTTATATCCATGTACAATACACAGTAGTGCATGCCCTCCAGCTGTAAGTAGCCATGCAATTTATCTATATTTCTATAGTAAAATAATATTGTGCAATTCTGCTTGACATTACATTAGATTATTTTAGAGACCTATACTACAGTATCACAAATACTATTTAAGTGTTTATCACTGATCAAAAATGTTTTCGAAGGACATTGTTTGGGAATTTGCACAATACTAGGCCAGGAGACACTGAGGTCTGCTGAGTGAACTGTAACAATATAACCACTCAACTACTGACTTAGTCGTGACTCGTGACAAACAGAAGACTGACAGTGACTTTGATTTATCAGTGACTTGCAATATAGCTGTGTTCTATAAATGTTTAATAAAATTGTTCTTTTATCTTTGCAATGTCATGTAAGTTATTGAAGCTGCAGTTAAACTGTGATGCATATCTATCTGCTAAGAGCTATTTTAACTCACCATGTTAAAACATGAATATCTGTAAATATGACTGATCATTATCTGCGCCCAATGATTGTAACATGCATCACAGATTGTGGTTTCTGTTTAATAAACCATTGAAACCATTTATTGGGGTCTATCCTTGTGTTGTAGCCTGAGTGTCAGTCTGTGCTATAACTCCCTTTCACTCATTGGCTTGACAATAAGCAATGTCATTGGCAATAGCACAAGTATGCAGGCCATGGAAGAACTGGGACATTTTCAGCTTCCAGGAATTGTGTACAGATCATTGCGACATGGGGCCGTGCATTATCATGCTGAAACATGAAGTGACGGTATCTGTGAATTGAAATTGCCATCGATAAAATGCAATTGTGTTTGTTGTCTGTAGCTTATGCCTGCCCATACCATAACCCCACCGCCACCATGAGGCACTCTGTTCACAACGTTGACATCCGCATACTGCTCGCCAACACAACACCATACACGTGGTCTGCGGTTGTGAGGCCGGTTGGACATACTGACAAATTCTGTAAAACGACGTTGGTAGAAAAATTTATATTCAATTCTCTGGCAACAGCTCTGGTGGACGTTCCTGCAGTCAGCATGCCAATTGCGCGCTCCCTCAACTTGAGACATCTATGGCATTGTGTTGTGTGACAAAACTGCACACTTTAGAGTGGCCTTTTATTTTCCCAAGTGAATCCTTACCACCGCTACACCTGGCTATCAGTGGAGCCTTCTCTGGCAGCGAAATAGTTCATTCAGTCTCATTAACCGCCTTTTAAAAAAACATAGCTGATATGGCTGATTTGCTTAAACAAAAGTGGTTTCTACTGACAATTGAGATGTACAAACTTTGGCATAAGGGAACAATGAGCGGATAAGAGACAATCCGTAATTTCAATTGACATTAATGAGCGAGCTAAAACGGAGATAGTCAATATAACTATTTGTTCAGCACTTTTGAAATGTACAGCAACAGAATTCAGAACATGGGCCATTCTTACAGTACTCTCCCTGTACACCAAGTCAGAACCGTAGGATAAATAAAAGGGGCATATAAGCAGACAATGAAAGCTCTTACAGTATTCGATGATTACATTTCTCTAAAACAGGCTATAGGCTGCATGTGCACCACCAAGTCAGAACAGTAGGCTAAGTTATGAGGGGGAAATTGACCAAATTATTAGGGTTAGGCACATGGACTACTAACAGTTTATTATACTGTATACTGTAAATGTAAAATTATACAATATACACTTAGTATTACTTTCTTAGCTACAATATACTTTTCTCCCTGGAATATTACATCATTTATGCAGCAGCATACAAGACATTTTTGGACTTACCGTTGTGCTGTGCTCACTTGAACAGGAAGGTGGCACGGCACTTCTTGTGAGCAAATTTTGTCATGAAACTTTGTCATCAAAGTCTGGCATTCTCTGGATTTATGGTGCTTTCAAGACAACTGGGAACTCTGGAAAAAAAAAACAAGGTCAAATCATGACATCAGTGATCTTCAGGTCAGAGCTCTAGAAAAAGGCCAGAGTTCACGACTTGGAATTCCGAGTCCGAAACGTATTTTCCCAGTCGGAGCTAGTTTTTTTTTCGAGTTCCCAGTTGTCTTGAACTCATTGAAGTCTGAGATTTCCCAGTTCTGAGTTTCCAGTTGTTTTTAACGCAGCAGAAGTCATGCTGGATTGACAGCATGGCCAATGTATTCAACCTTTTCTGACCCATGGTGTTGTGTGTGAATGTTTATCCTTTTAAGCTCTGAAAAGAGACCCTTAAACCCAGACTTGGACCACACACCCTCTCCACCGAATAGCAGGCTAGCGATTGCTTTGCTACGCTTGCAGTTACCCACTGATTCCTT